CTGGGAAAGGAATTGCCTCGGCATTGTGTGCTGGAGGGGTGAGGCGGCCTGAGTGGAGAGGCGACATTTCCATCACATCTGTACCGCTATCAGCAAAAGAGAAGTCAGCCTTTCATGGCCGCTCACTGCAGTGGGGGCTGAGTACTCAGGGAGTTGTTTAGAGTCTTGTCCATAGACATCCAGAGGGCTGATAAGGTCAGCTTGGATCTGTGTATAGGCTTACCTTTGCCTCTGGGGTTTTTAGTGAAGTTTGTGAAAACAGTAATATAATACTCATATAGACTATGTAGCAAATAACCTGATTGTTTACATTTGCTAAATCTTCACTCAAGTTTGGTCAAACAGATTTTTCTCATGAAGCTCTGTGTGTGTGTGTGTGTGTGTGTGTGTGTGTGTGTGTGTGTGTGTGTGTGTGTGTATGAGAGAGAGAGAGAGAGAGAGAGAGAGAGAGAGAGAGAGAATATGTAAGATAAAATAGAGTTTTAATACTCTCTCTCATCTCTTTTTTTTTTTTTTTTTTTTGGTTTTTCGAGACAGGGTTTCTCTGTGTAGCTTTGCGCCTCTCCTGGAACTCACTTGGTAGCCCAGGCTGGCCTCGAACTCACAGAGATCCGCCTGGCTCTGCCTCCCGAGTGCTGGGATTAAAGGCGTGCGCCACCACCGCCCGGCATCTCTCTCTCATCTCTTAAACAATGTCTACCATAGCTTTTAGTCTCTCTCTTTTTTTACAAAATGAGAATGAGGATGGTCCTGGATCCTTGGCAATTCACGTGTCATTTCTCAAAGCACCAAAAAGTATGGGTTCTAATCCCAACTCTGTTACTTGCTTGCTTGATGTATAAAAGTTTGATCAAATCAGGTAGAAATTTTAGAACCGTAACTTCCTCTTGCCTCAAACGGAAATAACAATAATATCTTGGAAATGTACAGGAATGATTCCTGCAAAAACAAATGAGGTCTTACACAGGAGAGAATTTCATACTCTGTAAAATGCTATAGGACATTAACCAGCATGCCCATTGGGAAGGGAATGCTCCTTAGAATCCACTGAAGGAAGTCACCCATATCGTCTGACCTTGTGACTGGCACTGTGGTCACATATGCATTGAAGAGATGTCTCTACCTGTGTAGAAAGAGATGTACTGATAAGTCTACCTTGCCCAGAGATGGTGATCCTCCTGCCGGCTGTGTACAGCCAATTAACTGTGCAGCTGCTCTTCTACTGAAAAGAAAGAGGCTTCAGTGACAGGGAAATCCTGTGTGGAAAATCCTACATTTTAGTTCCAGGACCAGTTGTGTTATTTCTCATAAATAAGCAGGCATGTGTTGTACACTCTCACACACATGTGTATGTGTCTAAGTTAGATGACTCCAGCTACAGTGGAGTCCCCAGGCCTAGGAGCAGGAAGGCTGGAGGACATCTTTTTAACTTTTAACTTGAGAGCTGATGGTTGCAGCAGCTGGATGGACCCTAACGCCAACTCCCATATAGGGACAAAGCATGTGATGTAGGAAACCGGCAGGAGAAAAATCCAGAGCCACACCACCTGGGTTCCTACAACAGCTCTACCACCAGTTACCAGTACAGCCTCGAGCACATTGCATAATTTCTCTGGTTTTAATTACCCAGTGTATAAATGGGAATAATAAATGGAGTAATATGCATGGAGTAGTTTGGACAGTGTTTGACAGACAATGAGGCTTGAGGAAAAGTTGTCCTTATTATTGTCCTTCTAGATATGCATGGGGGATTCAGCAAGAAGTTGAAAAATGATCTATTGACTCAATTCATGGACATCCATTCCCAAATTATTGGGATCTTCATCTAGGGATGTATTGTGTATTAACGTAGTTTTTGAGGATTTGCCATGATCATTCAATTGTGCCACTGGAATCTGTTTTATTAAGTAAAAAAGTTGGAAAAGTATCACCTCATACAGTATTTCCGACACATAATAAATAAACCTGATGAAGTTGAAAGAGGTTCGCCTACCCAACATAATGTAAATTGCGTCACTGGATGTGCTGCAGGGGCTTGAGGGCATTTATCATGCTTAGACCTTATGAGGACCAATTGGAGGAGCCAGGCGGAAAGTGTGGCTGGAGCAGACTTCCCTGAGCACCTTTATCCAAAGCCGAGAAGGAACCTGAGGAGGCAGAAATGCCTGCTGTGCACAGGCTCCTTCCGCTGGGGTTGTTTACTACAAGACAGATCTAAGTTACAATCGATGTGAGGGCTGCTTTGTTCTGAAAGCCCACTTTCTTGTCCTCTCTCAACCTGATAGCTCAGTTCTGTGTTCATAACTCTTCTCACCATTGGGACCAAATGCGTGACAGAAAAAAAAAAAAACTTGAGGGAGTGTCCTAGTTTGATTTCTGTTCCCGTGATAAAGACCATGACCCAAACTAACTTGGGGAGGAAAGGGTTTACTATGTTTTACAGGTTAGAGTCCATTACTGAGGAAAGTTAAGGTAGGAATTGAGAAGGGAAACTGTGATCTGAATATATTGTGTATAAAAAATTTTTTTTCAATTAAAAAAAAAACGGAAGGAGCAAGCCTACAGGGAGGAACACCGCGTGGTCCTTTGAATAAGAATGGCCCCCATGGGCTCACATATTTGAATGCTTAGTCATCAGGGAGTGGCGCTACTTGATAATAAGGAGCTGTGGCTTGGTTGGAGTAGGTGTGGCCTTGTTGGAGGAAGTGTCTCACTGGGGGAGGGCTTTGAGGTTCCAAAAGCCCAAGCGGGCTCAGTATCTCTCTCTGGCTGCCTGCGGATCTAAACGTGGAACTTTGAGCTAGTTCTCCAGCACAGCGTCTGCTTGTACGCCGCCAAGGTCCTCGCCATGATGCTAATGGACTAAACCTCTGGAACTGTAAGCAAGCCTCAATTCCTTACTTTGTAAGAGTTGCCTTGGTCGTGGTGTCTCTTCACAGCTGTAAAACAGTCACTAAGACAACTTGCCTCCCAGCTCCTACTCAGCCTTCTTTTTCCATACTCCCCAAGACCATCTGCCCAGGGCTGAGAGGCTCTCCTCCATCAATTAGCAATCAAGAAAATGCCCCCAAGCCGGGCGGTGGTGGCACACGCCTTTAATCCCAGCACTTGGGAGGCAGAGCCAGGTGGATCTCTGTGAGTTCGAGGCCAGCCTGGGATACAGAGTGAGTTTCAGGAAAGGCGCAAAACTACACGGAGAAACTCTGTCTCAAGAAAAGAAAAGAAAATGCCTCATCATAACAGTTTAATCTGATGGAGGCGATCTCTCAATTGGGCTTCCCCCTCCCTGGTGCCTCTGGTTTATGTCAAGTTGACAGTGCCTAGCTAGCGCTGGTAGGAGAGAGTTCTCCAGCACAGGGTTCCAACCCATGCTGGCTTGGCTCCATTGTAATAATGGACCCATAAGGCAGGCCTGAGTCTTCATTTCGTTGTATATAGGAAGCAGAGAATTCAAGAAGCCACAGCAAGATCAGCCCCAGAGGGTCCCATGACCAGTGGTTACTTCCTCCAACCAGGCCAGCCTCCTCCCTTTCACCACCTCCCCAAAGAGTGTCTTATTTTTAATCTATCTCAGGCTTAACCAGCTCATTAAGTCAGACCCCTCCTAATCTAGTCATCAGTGATGATGCCCTCACAGACAGAACCAGAAGTGTTCCTCACTAATCTTTCAGGCACTTTTAATCCAGGCATGTCTTCTGTCAAAAGAAAACATTGCCGATTGTGAGGTTACAAGTGTGGTTCTGACTGAAGAATGACTTGTAGAAAGGTATTCTTGAGAGACATCTGAGCAGTGAGGTAGAAAAATGGAAAGTGCCTGGGACTGGTCTATAGCCGTCTGTTTGGTTCTCAGTGTGGAGTGATGTTAACAATGGTATCACCTAGCCAGACAGCCTGAAGCATTGATGGCAGTTGGTGAAGCTAGCAGAGCTTCCACAAAGATTATTGTCTTCCTTCTGGGAGCTGTTTAATAGTTCTACAAACTGTCCTGTTGCTCAAAGTAAGCTTGTATCCCACCTCCAGTTTATTCCTGCTCTCTTGGACTAATTATTAGCAGTGCTCTCTTTCACTCTGAAAGTGTCCATTTTGAATACTAAATGTGATCACCTAGTGTGATCACACTCAGCACATCCAGCACCAGCCTTTTAAAACATTTCTTGTACTTTAAAACATGTCCTCTTGCCATGTACTTTAATTGCAGAGGCAGGCAGATCTCTGAGTTCAAGGCCAGCCTGTGCTAGATAGTGAGTTTCAGGACTGCCCGAGTGACACAGTGAGAACCTATCCCCCCCCCAAAAAAAAACCACCTCATTAAAGCCTCAACATCACCTGTATCATACATGAAGAGTGTAGGTACTGAGAGCAGCCAGAAAATGCCCCCTCTGCCAGCAGATTGCATTCCTCATCCCTCTGGTGATCTGGAAATCATGGTGGAAGCTGTTTGGTAAACATCTTAGTCTGGGTTGAATTTTCCTAGAACTTTTGCATATATGATATGGGATATGGTAATATATCATGTAAACTAGGAAGGGATTCATCTTTAAACTATGAATATTGTTGCTGCCTACCAATAAAAATAAGAAACTTCAGTAACCTGAGGAGGGGGGAATTAAAATTTCCCAGAGGACTGGGATTAGGCCTGTCCAAAGCGAGGCGGAGTATTCCCTGAACACAAATGCACCTTCGCCTACCCAGTTCTTCTTGCCACAGTTACAGGAATAGCAGGCATCAACCCATCTGGTTATCCTTTCAGAAGACAACGTTGCCTGAATTTTGGGGGGGATCAGTACGAATGTGATATCCAAAATAGCTGAAACACTAAGACCCGAGGTGGGGAGGAACTCAAGGCATTGCTTGCCTAGGCTACGTGTGCAGCCTGCCCAGCATCTTGTGTATGCATCTGCAAGGTTCCGGCTTTACTCTTCTGAGACCTCAGTGTTAGAAATCCAACCGGCAAAATCTCACTGTGTGCCCTGTCTTGTATTTGCCTCACTGTACTGCAGGTGACATCAGTTGCAAGGGGATGACCGAGCGCATTCACAGCATCAACCTTCACAACTTCAGCAATTCCGTGCTCGAGACCCTCAACGAGCAGCGCAACCGTGGCCACTTCTGTGACGTGACGGTTCGCATCCACGGGAGCATGCTGCGCGCACACCGCTGCGTGCTGGCAGCCGGCAGCCCCTTCTTCCAAGATAAGCTGCTGCTGGGCTACAGCGACATCGAAATCCCGTCGGTGGTGTCAGTGCAGTCGGTACAAAAGCTCATTGACTTCATGTACAGCGGTGTGCTGCGAGTCTCACAGTCGGAAGCTCTGCAAATCCTCACAGCCGCCAGCATCCTGCAGATCAAAACAGTCATAGATGAGTGCACACGCATCGTGTCACAAAACGTGGGCGATGTGTTTCCAGGCATCCAGGATTCTGGCCAGGACACACCAAGAGGCACACCAGAGTCAGGCACATCTGGCCAGAGCAGTGACACGGAATCAGGCTACCTGCAGAGCCATCCACAACACAGTGTGGACCGAATCTACTCGGCGCTGTACGCTTGTTCCATGCAGAATGGCAGCGGCGAGCGCTCCTTCTACAGCGGTGCAGTCGTCAGCCACCACGAAACTGCACTCGGCCTGCCCCGTGACCACCACATGGAAGACCCCAGCTGGATCACACGCATCCATGAGCGCTCCCAGCAGATGGAGCGCTACCTGTCCACCACCCCTGAGACCACACACTGCCGCAAGCAGCCCCGGCCTGTGCGCATCCAGACCCTGGTGGGCAACATCCACATCAAGCAGGAAATGGAGGATGACTATGACTACTATGGGCAGCAAAGGGTGCAGATCCTAGAGCGCAATGAATCCGAGGAATGCACGGAAGACACTGACCAGGCCGAGGGCACAGAGAGCGAGCCCAAAGGTGAAAGCTTTGATTCCGGGGTCAGCTCCTCTATTGGCACTGAACCTGACTCAGTGGAGCAACAGTTCGGAGCGGGAGCCTCCAGGGACAGTCAGGCGGAACCCGCCCAACCTGAGCAGGCAGCAGAAGCCCCAGCTGAGGGCAGTGCCCAGCCAAACCAGCTAGAAACAGGTGCCTCCTCTCCGGAGAGAAGCAACGAGGTGGAGATGGACAACACAGTGATCACTGTCAGTAACAGCTCTGATAAGGGCGCCCTACAACAGCCTTCAGTCAACACATCCATTGGGCAGCCATTGCCAAGTACCCAGCTCTATTTGCGCCAGACAGAAACGCTCACCAGCAACCTGAGGATGCCTCTGACCTTGACCAGCAACACACAGGTCATTGGCACAGCTGGCAACACCTACCTGCCAGCCCTCTTCACTACCCAGCCCGCGGGCAGTGGCCCCAAGCCTTTTCTCTTCAGCCTGCCACAGCCCCTGACAGGCCAGCAGACCCAGTTTGTGACAGTGTCCCAGCCCGGCCTGTCTACCTTTACTGCACAGCTGCCAGCGCCACAGCCCCTGGCATCATCTGCAGGCCACAGCACAGCCAGTGGGCAAGGCGAAAAAAAGCCTTATGAGTGTACTCTCTGCAACAAGACTTTCACAGCCAAACAGAACTACGTCAAGCACATGTTCGTCCATACAGGTGAGTGTCGCTTCTCTGAAAGCTTGGCAGCAGGATATGGAGGGCTTGGGGGCAGGGGGCAGGGGGGCGGGGGCTGGGGAGAGAACAGGACAATAGGTAGAAGGGAAGGGTTGGAGTCATCTTTCACATCTTTCACGGGCCCCTTCTAGAAGTCTAGCTATACCCGTCATAGGAATAAAGTACCCCAAATCATAAAAACCCTTTATGGAAAAAGGATGCTCCAGGAGTGTGCAGCCTGCAGAAGAGAAGACTCAGGGCATCATATTCAAGTGCCTGAGTTTTGGAGGTGACGCAGCATAGGTTCAAAGCTTGCTCTTTGGAGACAGACTGCTCAGCCTGGAATTCAGGCCTAGCTACTTACTACTGAACTCTGCCACCTTGGAAGAAGTCACTTAACTACTTTAAACTTGATTTCCTTTGGGGGTGGGGGAGAGGAGAGAGAGAATAGTAGTGATGTACCTTCCTTGTCCTGCTTTTGAGAATTATATTGACATACATGACTTAAAGGCGTTCCTAGCATAGTAAGTTCTGTGTAAGTTGTAGCTGTTATTGCCATTATTAAGATGGCTGGGAAGAAGAGGTAGTAAGTTTGTTCTATTTGCTCCCAAAAAATAGAATTGAACCACTGAGAGCTCTACAGAGTCTTTCAACTAAATAAAAGAAAAAGTTCACCAGTCCAGGCTGCTCTGGGCTGTTTGCTTCTCCAAAGGATTGTTTTGTAAAGTTACTGTCCAGAGGACCAGGGAAGGATAGTGGTCTCCTGGACTCTTACAACTCCAGAGATAACGCTCGGCAGACCTCTGAGCCTGCCCTTTCCCTAGCTGTATAATGGGACACAAATACGAGTATCTCCACATAAGAGATCATCTGAGTGGTTATGGCTTCCCACAGGTTCTCTTAGAACTAAAGTCACTGACTGCAACAATGATAGTCATATTTGAAATTCTTACAAGAGTCACACTCCTGGCAAAGTTTTTAGTCTAGGATAGTGATGTTAGATAAAACCATTCGTCAGGGAATTCTTCCATACTTGAATTCTAATACAGGGGAAAAATCCCCTCGCAGAGCAGCCGCACATCTCACACCAGGCTAGCACAAATCTAAGGAATAAGGTAGACGGCACATACATTTCAATGGAGGATCAGAAGAAAGGGGAAGCCATTGTAAAGCTCCCTATGCAAGTGAACAACTGAAATAGCTCATGGCCTAAGCTGAACTTGGCCTTCTTTGTAGTTCAATCTAAGTCAGGACATGCAGTTAAGTGTATGTGGCATTATGTCAATCACCTGTGCTTAAATCTTCGTTTTCACACATCCAAATAAACACAGAGATTCATTGCTGGACTTAGAAAGAAAATTGGGTAATGGTAAGTCATATGTTTAATTTACTTAGGGCAAAGGTGAATGCAGCAATAACCTGAAATCAATCAAATGAGTTAACCAAAGAGCCTTTTCTACTTATGGAGTATTATATTGCAAATGGGCTCTCAAGTAGTTTTATCCTTTTCATCCAAAAGCAGCTGATTTAATAGCCTTGAAAAATTAAGAATTAGCAATTCAAATTAAGAATAGTGGGAGGGCCATTTGTGCAGGTATCTCTTCAGCCAAAGTTGACTTTGTTCATCTTGGACCACGTACATACCTTCTTTCCTCTTTGGTGTCTTCTGTAGACCCATCAAACAGAAAATACATACATCCTGTCAGGTCATATACTGAAATAAGATCTTAAATTTGCAACATAAAACTCTCATCCTACCACAAATTGTCTTTTCAATGTATAAATGCATTTCTCCAGTAGGTTCACCAAGGAATCCTGTAGTTAATCCAAGTCAATGGCTTTGCCTGTGATAAAAATCAGCAGTGGTTTTGTACACTTATATATTACAGAAGCACAAAGCTATAGGTAAAGACATTCTTGTAAACCTGAGCTGTATTCAAAGTGTGGTCTGCATAATGCAGTAGATGACTAAGGTCCTCAGTAAATCCTGAAGCTATTTAAATGTATGTAATGCAGGCACATCTGAGAACAGTCTTGTACCTATGCCAACCAGGCATTTAGTTCTCTCAAGTCAGCTCTTTACCTTTCATTCTAGAGTTATTTGGCACTGGCAGTTTGGAAAGTCTTATCTATATTTCAGTAGTGAACATGGAAGCAGAAGAATTAGAGAAAAAGAAAAGCTAGAGCCAGCCGTCCTTCATGGGACGGAGCAGGGTTCTCTCTCATTTCTCCCGTCAACAGACAAAACAGAGGTCAAAATAAAGGAGCCAGAGGGCTCAGAAGCCAGAGATGGAGCACATTAGAAGGCTAAGCCTCGGTGTTGCCATGGATTTCAAGGCGAGCAACTTAACAGGGTGTCATCTATTTTATCTGGAAACTCCAGGTGGAACTTTCTTTTAAGATCCAAACTTAGGGCATTTTACTTAAAAAAAAAAAAAAAAAAAATCTATAAATGAATATGGGCTAGCATATGTAGTTTCTTAGCAAATGTTTGTTGAGTGAGTATGTAAATGAATGTTCAAAAATGTGGACATGCTTTCCAGGAGAACTTAATTCAAGGAACTTATACATAAATGCATTCTTTTCTCTGCACGACTTTTAGATTTCTTTCTTTAAAAAAAAAAAAACCAAAACTTTAGAATATACTGTAGGGTATCTATATTCCCACTTGTGGTTTTTCACCAACAAATTATAGTTCTTTGGCTTTTTTCTGAATCATATTATCAACAGCCCAGCCGTTGGTGATGCTTTTTAGCCCATTGATGTCCTGTGCACTTACGATAATTCTGCTCGTTTGTTTGGGAGCTCAGCTTCTTCAGCCATAAATTCCATGTAGAAAGAGTAATAGCTGTTAACATGTCAGTGTTAGCAATAGGGTACTAAGAGAGACACGAGACAGTGCTTTGACCATCCATACAGGAATTGGACTTTTAATCTTGTCAAGATAGTGGATGTATTTTTAGAGGAGGAAGTCTTGTTTTACCACTTGGTGACTGAGTGACTTTAAGTGAGTTCTAGTTTGAATCACAGTTTTTCAGGTCTTAATAATAGGTTACTCTGAGGACTAAGTAATGGATACAAAAACTCTAGAGTGTAAATGCTGTGACATTATCACAGCCACTTAGGAATATATATTACAGAGACACCGTGCATTTTGCAGCTGGAGCTGCTCACATTGGGAGAAGGAGTTAGCAGGAACTGCGCGCTTGCTTACCTTACTCTCGGCTGTTGTTCGTCTTGAGGACATTAGTACAAAAGTCACAGGAGATACTATTTTCTGGGGTGTTAATATCCACCCCATTCATACCACTATAAGAGGTCAGATAATATAGACAAAGTTCCCTGGGTATTTAAAGTTCTACTTACCACCAAAATATCTGAGTTGTCAGTGAAGCCACAGAAGTTTGTGAATGTATGTGTCCCAGTTAGCAGTCCTTCCTAGACAGTCAGCAGGGACTAGGCAGAAAGGCCAGCAGGGTATCATACCAGCTAGATCCTGTTACTCCATGCCCTCCCTCACCAGACACCTCTGGATGGAGAGTTTGAGCAAACCCGCGCTGTTGGTACCAAGCCCTTCCCTGTTTTCTGGTCCAGTCTTCATTTCCCCATTCAGTAGATCTGCACTTCCAGGAATACCTCTGTTTCCTCATCCTCTGCCTTCCTTGATGCTCTATGCCTCACCAAGCATCCTGTCTGGGTTTTCTGACTACCCAACCATCCCCTCTGTGCTCACCCAAAGAAGAGGGTAGGCGCGTGCTACAGCAGAAGATGGAGAGGCAGTAATGGTGAGAGACACAGGTAGAGCTGAAAACTGCATTCACTGCTCTTTACATAGCCCTGGGAAAGCCTGACTAGAATAAGGAATAATCAGTAGAATAAACGAGTTCTTGCTGAGCCCCCCATGCTAAGATCACAATGCAGGCCTGTTATGACTCTCACTGAAATGGCGTGAACTCTCTGTACCCATTTTCTAATCATTATTTTTCTTCCTCTTCATTTCTCTCCCTGTCTGCCATAATAGTGTTAAGTGTCAGGGCTGGTCCTTGAGGGGCCAAAGAGCAGGCTTTGAAAAATTGAGGAAAGCAAACTTTCACCACTCCATCCTCGAAAAGGCAGTATAGGCCTCTCCCCTGATTGTTCGCCTGCTGGTTGGCCTCTCAGCCTCCAGGGTTGAGTTGCTGACTCCAGGAAATACCGCCCTGACCTTTTTCTTCGCAGTACCACTTCTTCCATTGACATGTAGACGTAAGACTGTGTGCTTCACTTTTAATTGCTAGCTTCACCAAACAGCCTGCTTTAGGGCTCATCTGAAACATTATTGCCTTTATTTTGGTTTGGCTTTTGTTTAACTCAGGATTTACTCTCCTATGCAGTGAAGTGATTTCTCACTTGGTTTACTTTATCCTCAGTTCCTGCAGGCTAGATGGGACATTTTAGCTTTCCTTAAAATGACCTGTACTTTGCTTTAAGTGCCTCATCAGTTTTCAGAAGAAGTTCACACACATGCACTTTTGGAACTATTATTAAATTATCAATAAGGAAACCAAGATTTAGAAAGCTTAGATCACATGCCCAAGTCACTCAGCCCAGGAAACACAGTTCCTCTCTGACTCCCCCAGAATGGATCACTTTAAAGTGAAGGGCTCCTTGTGCCTGCTGCTTTTTATGTTATGGTTCACCTTTCCTCTTTGCATTTGGGGACCCTTCCTAAGCTCCCAGACTTGCTGATGTGAACCACAGGCTCCCACCCAGGACACCATCTGTAACTGTTTATCCTCTTCCCCTCACGTTTCTGCACGTGGAGAACCATAGTCTACAGACCGTTCATTTCATATGTAGTGTCCCATTTCCTTTCAGGTTTGCTGGAGGGAACATGTCGGGAAAGTAAGATGATAGGGAAAATGTTAATTCCTGCTAAGTGACAATGTTTGAATGAGCGTGAGAAGAGCGAGTGTGGGCAGATGACTGACGTGAAAATGCACCCAGGTCATCAGGCAGTCCCTGAAATGCCCAGCCCCATCATCTCAGCACTGGAGTAATTAGAGAGAGCACCTTTCTCAGGGCAGCTCCCAGGTGCCTTGTGCACACTTTTCTCATTAACTCGCACTCCCTTTTCCTGTGGCAGGGTAGAGAACCCGATACTTTGTCCTATTTAAAAATGGGGGACTGCCAAAGCATCGAGTGATTAAGCAGGTTGCCCTCAGGTCATTTGCTGACAAGGCCAGGACTAGAGGCCTCAGGGGTTGTGGACCACCCTGAGATGAAGACCAGTAAATCCACAGAGCCATAGCAAGTGCTTGGTCCAATTTGTCACTCAGAGAAGGCAAAACAAACCCGGAGAGATGAAAACACTTCAGAAGCCCAGGGTCACACAAATAATTACTGGATTACCATACTCCGTGCATACAAACAGCATCCGTGTATGTGAGGTGGAGGGAAGATGATAAGTGTGAGCAATCAATTTAGAGTTGGATTAGAAGGGTGTGAAAGGCAAGAGCCTTGCTCGGTGACCTTGCCTGAGGAAAAGCACAGGCAGAGGTGAAAGTTGCCAACAGCAGGAGCATTTAACAGTCTCACCTTCCTAGCAGCCAAATACCATCTGCCCTGGAAGGCATGCTTCCCGTTAAAGGTGACAGGTGGACATGCTTTAAGAGATAGTTGGCCGGCATCTCACAGCCACTAGAAATTGTACTGAAAGCACCAGGAGAGCAAAGACCAGCTGAGCTGCAAGCATGTTTACAGCCGACAGAAATGCCTCAACTAAAAATAACACGCGTGATTGTCTTTAAGGGAATCTCTCATTTACAAAAACGTTGCCAATGTAAACACCATGCATAGGCTGAGAACTTTAGCAAGCTGGACTTATTAGCAGTAAGTCTTCCCCAGATTCTCCTATTTTAATCTAAAAATTATATTATTCTCTTTAGCCCTAGGATCCTGTGCATCTACTTCCCCATTAGAATGCGTCAGTTCAAGCCCCCTTATGTTCGAAAATACCAAGAAAATTGTCTAATGTGAGAAAGTTCCACAAGGTGCAACATAAATATGAAGCATTTGCCCCAGAACCTGGCATGATAAATATCCAGTGCATAGGTGTTTGTTTTATTGCTGTCGTTACCATGATACATCAGCCTCCTTCAGAATGGAAAAATGAGAATGGTGGTCGAGGCCCTTTTTTATTTTTATTTATTTATTTATTTTGGTTTTTCAAGACAGGGTTCCTCTGTGTAGCTTTGCGCCTTTCCTGGAACTCACTCTGTATTCCAGGCTGGCCTTGAACTCACAGAGATCCGCCTGCCTCTGCCTCCGGAGTGCTGGGATTAAAAGGTGTGTGCCACCACCGCCCGGCAAGGCCCTTTTTTAAATGGGAGTTAACTCAAGCTGAAGGAGTGGACCTCTTGTCTCGCTGCACATTTCAGATGTTGAAACATTGCCTGAGAGCGTCTCAGGCTTGAGGCTTTGGGCACTGAAGGAAATGCCTACTTCAGGCTATCAGTAATGAGATGGAAAAGGTGGATCATACAGGGTAGAGAGTTCATATCAGCCATCAAAATCAGAAGGCAGCAAGTGTTGCGAACCAATACTACTAACAAAAGCTAGTCTTTAAGCAGTTATCCAAAGTGATGCCCCACACCTATGGGCTTTACTGCTAGGAGGGTCCCTCATGTCATCATCCAGTGACTATTCTTACCTTACTATTTTTAACTAGCAAGATCATTTGGTTTCAGAGCCAACGGTCGACAAAACAGTAAACACACAAGAAAGAAGGGTTTGTGCCAGCTGGCTAAGAGAAAAAAAAAAGACAGAAAAAAACTATTTTAGAAATTGACCTAAAAGTTCAAAAAACATATGGAACCATTTAATGGGGGAGGATGTAGCCTTGTAATAAGAATGCCATGCAAGTATTCCCACACCACCCTTGGTGGTCTACAAAGTGATTCCATATGTATTTCATGTCAACACCGTCACAGTGAGTGAGGTAAGTGGGGCTGTATACCTCGGAGACTCTTGGTGATTTGGTATAACGGTGCACAGTGTGCTGGCGCCTGGTCTTGAACAGGGCCATGTGACTCAGAGAATGAAGGGTTGGGCACCATCCATCACAGCCAGTGAGGTCAGTCTGCAGACCAGTGCAGTCAGCACAGAGTAGCCGGTTCACTCTTAGGTTTCATGTCAGGGAGATTTTCAGTGAGACACAGATAAACTGAAAGTGTAGACTAGCAGCCCAGGGCAGGAGTCAATAATGGGGGCATTTACTAGGCCAAATAGTGGAAACGGAGACTTCCCCCAAAAGAACCAAGTTATGTGACCAATAGTCTCACTTCCCAAAGGTTGTAGAAAAGCCCTGCCTCCAAAGATATTCTCTTAATTCTTATATTTGTTTGCTAATACTAACTGGAAATACATAGATCTTTAATAATGATATTGAGAATGACTCTTACCCTTTTTTTCTCTTCCGGATGACCTTTTAAGAGTTGGGTGGTAGTATGCTGTTGCTTTCCAAGAGAGCCATTTTTGGCCATGGGGAAATGGAAAACTCTAGACTTTCCTGGCATCTTGAAAGCAAGCTTCTTCTGAACAAGAAAGGCCAGGAAGACCTAGATCTTTCCAACCCAGGATGATCCAGGAAACAATCAAATGTTATTTTTGTTGTAATTGGTTGTTTTTCTTTTTTGTCGTCTTGTTCTCCTGTCTCTCATTCTCCACTCTGGCTCTGTCTCCTTCTGTTCTGCTTGCTGTCTCTCCCGCCTCAACAGGTGAGAAGCCCCACCAGTGCAGCATCTGTTGGCGCTCCTTCTCCTTGAAGGATTACCTTATCAAGCACATGGTGACCCACACCGGAGTGCGAGCCTACCAGTGCAGTATCTGCAACAAGCGCTTCACCCAGAAGAGCTCCCTCAACGTGCACATGCGCCTGCACCGCGGGGAGAAATCCTACGAGTGCTACATCTGCAAGAAGAAGTTCTCCCACAAGACCCTGCTGGAGCGCCATGTGGCCCTGCACAGTGCCAGCAACGGGACCCCTCCCGCAGGCACGCCCCCAGGTGCCCGCGCCGGCCCACCGGGCGTGGTGGCCTGCGCCGAGGGGACCACTTACGTCTGCTCCGTCTGCCCAGCAAAGTTTGACCAAATCGAGCAGTTCAACGACCACATGAGGATGCATGTGTCTGACGGATAAGTAGTACCTTTCTCTCTTTCTTATGAACCAAACAAAACAACAACAAAAGAAATAAACAAACAAACAAGCAAACAAAAAGCTATGGCACTAGAATTTAAGAAATGTTTTGGTTTCATTTTTACTTTCTGTTTTGGTTTTTGTTCCGTTTCATTTTGTACTACATGAAGAACTGTATTTTGCCTGCTGGTACATTACATTTCCGGAGGCTCGGGTGAATAATACTTTTCCCAGTCTCCCTTGGATGGTGGCCTTAAGGCCTGGTAGTGCTTCAAGAGGTCCACTGGTTGGATCTCTAGCTACTGGCCTCTAAATACAACCCTTCTTTACAAAAAACAAAACAAAAACAAAAAAACAAAACAAAAACAAAAAAAGCAAAAAACCACACACACAAAAAAACAAAAACAAAACAAAAAAAATCTTTTAAAAAAGTTTAAAAAAAGTTTAAAAAAAAAAAGAAAAATTGTTTTTCCACTCGTGAAGAGCACTACAAAATCTATAAGGAGATGTAAAAGGCCTGCTGTCTTTTAAGTACACCGCTCACAGTGTTTCAGTGGACATTTCACAATTCTGGCCACGTGGACTTCACAGTAACCAGTTCAAACTGTGGAATATCACTTCTGGTTGAAAACCCAGAGGAAAGGCCCTGCTATTTCCACCTACATGTTATTAAAGGGCTGTGGGATGGGAGGGGTCAGGGAACCCAGTGGTGTGGAGACAAAGTGGCGGGCAGGCTTCTCCCCCAATTCTGCCGGCTCCACACACCCTGGCTCACCTCCTCCACCTCCCTCCCCCCACCCTTTCAGCAGAAGCCAGAAGACTTGGACAAGCAACAGTGGCTATCGTATTTATTCAGTGTCTTTGCTGGGCCACGGCCTCAGCACAATCAAGAGGGACTTTCATGAAAGGCAGGAATGCAGAGAAAACGTAACAGATTCGCACCTATGTTTCTAGGTACAAGAGAAGGATTATTTCCAACAACCTTTGCAAAAAAAAAAAAAAAAAAAAAGTGTCAGGATATATTCTTGTGGAAGAGAAAAAGAAAGAGAAATGGAGGGTGGGGGGAACGATTAAAGTTCTTGAGGCTTTTTTAATTCAAAATTTTATAGAGGGGCAAAAGTGATGTTTACCAGATAGAATGCTGATTTTTTTAATATATTTACAACAGTATTTGTGTAAAAAAAAAACAAAAAAGTGAGATTGTTAAAAGTAATTTTTTTTCTCATTTTGGTTTTGCATACACTGCCACCAATCCCTTGTCATTTACTTTGTCTATCACACACATATATATATATATTTTTTGGTAAGTCAAGACTGTTAAGGTTAGCGATACTGCTTCCAGATAGAAAGAATAAAAGGCAACTAAAGTTATATTTGAAAGAGAGGAAGGATATTTTCTTCATATTTTTTTCTTAATTTTTTATTATTTTAAGTATTGCCTGGGTTGCTGAGGGCCCCAGAGGCCCACACACCCCTGCTGTAACTTCAACTGCTGCTCTGTTTTGCTGTGTAGATCTTTGACTTCTAGCAAGCTTAAGTTGTTCCACTGAATATTTTTTCATCGATCCATCTAGAATTCTGTCCTTTTTCATGGGAGGGACATGATCTTTTAGCCAATTTCTTACTTTCCCAAAATTTTCAATGAGCTGTTAGGATTCTAGAGTTTCCAGTGACCTTGCTTTTTTTTCTTTGATGAAACACTAGTAGTCTAGAGATCTTGACAAAGGGGTTTGTTTCGTTCATGGTCAGCCAGGAGGACTCCACAAAACTCTACCCTCCCACTGCGTGAACGCCACTCTGAGAAGCCTGTTACAAACGACAGTGCATCGATGCCAAAACTCCTTTCCTCCTTCAGACCTCACCTTGGACTCTTCCCACCATGGCTCAGAGGGTGAAGTAGGATGATCATTCTTTAGTTGATTCTTAACCCTTGCTTTTGGATGTTAACAATTTCCCTGTGCTAACATCCAGCTTCCAGAAGGCCCTGGATCTCTGGCCTCATCCCAGATGCCACTCTTTCTAGTTGAGATTCCTCTCCGTGGTCTTGATCAAGAAATCCTAAGATTTTCCAGTTATATACAGTGTCCTAAAGGGATTCCAGCTCAAAAATAGGACTTTCAAAACCTAGCTAACACTCACAAAGTAATTTCATGATGGGGCATGTTTTAGCATACTTAAAAGGAAAAATAAATATTCCAATAATGCAGAAACACCAAACTACGCTTTTAAAAAGAAGAAAAGAGAGGATATTTTTGTTTCTAAATTACTCTACATTTTAATTTAATTTTCCTCCTAATTTTCCTGTTAGCATTTTATTTACAAAAAAAAAAAATGCAGCAAACGAGGGAAAATCTTCCAAGGCAAGCAACTCTGTAATGACTAAATTGGTTTTATTCATATATTTTAGACAATTGGTTAAGTTGGATCTTTTCCATATGTTCTTTGTGATGTTTAGTAGTTTGTGCAACTGGAGTGTTTTGTGGAGTTTGAGTCCGTCTTACGGTGCTTCATTCAGTGGCTATTTTGCTAGAAGTTGTAGTGTGGATTTGGATGGTTAGCTGACTGCTAAGAATCACCCATCATGATTGCTAAGAGGACAACCAAGAACTTGTGTGACCTGTTTTAAAAATGAGCTTCAGAAATGCAGAAGCCCTCCCCAGCCCTCCCGCCTGCTGGTTTTGCTGTTGGAAGGGTCAGTGAGGACTTCAAGTTTCCTTAGCACCAATAGAAGGAGCATTAAGTAACTACATCATAGAATCATTTTCATATTTTGAAAAATGAGTCATTTAGCCTATTAGAAAAAAAACGACTGACATTGTGATAATTTTTTTAATCTGGAGGGAAAAAGACATGAAATCACTCATCATATAAAACCAATGAAAGAAGGTCAAAACCTAGTTTTAGTTATTTTCACTGTTGTCAGGGGTACATTTAAAATAGTGTCTCTATTCAAACCTTAGCACAGTGGGCAGAGTTCATATTGTTTCTAGGAAAGCTTACCTTGAGTACCATCAGGCTATACTTCCCCATCTACTTCTTAAATCTGACAGAGACCCATTTGCCTTATTGTCAGAAGCTAAGCAACTGGGTTCAAAATCCAACCTTTGTGGTAGAGCCTGTAAGGAAAAGAAGAGGTGTCTGGAAACCCTGTACACATCCTTTTCTTAGAAAAGGGAATATCTCCTTTAAGAAAGGGTGTGGATGTCCCTAAAGAATTCTTGGTACTACTGTCTAGGCTCATTCCTACTGTATTTTTTTCTCCCAAACGTCTCATGGCCTAAAGTATTTGACATTGTTCTCTAGAACTGGGAGCTCTCAAGCAAAGATGCTTCTATGGGCTAGTGACATATATCTAGCCACTAAAGGGCTGCTTTCCATCTGACCCATGTCTTAGGAGACCAACCCACTGCACCTATTCCAGAAGATACAGGCGCTTGATTGCCGCGCACCCCTGCTGTCACGGTCACGAACAAGGGAGGGGTGAGAAAGAGGCTTCTCATTGTTTGGTTCCCAGCCCTACAGTTTTTATGATGGGATGCTTGTAAAACTAGAGAAGGAAAAAAGGTCTTTTTAGTATTCAGGAAAAAATACACAGAGAGAGAGAGAAGCAGAAGTTCTAGACAGAAGACCTTAAGAGAAGTTTGAGGAACAAGAGCTGGTATGCAAAAGAACACTAGTGTAATTTTTTTTTAACAATTTATGATTTTTAAATGGAATTTGTTAAGTACAAAGACAGAAAAAAGTCTGAGGAATGTTTGTCTTAACACATTTATATAGAAATTATGAAAAATAAAATTCCCTAGCTCTAAAAACATTGGTAGTGTCTCAGCATGGTGGGTAGTTTTTCCTGTATTAAGTACCAACATTTGTACAAAAAAGAGCTCCTAACTGTAAAAATATATCCCCCCAAAAGACAATAATAACTAATGAATGTTCAGTTCTACAGTTAAAAACAAAACTGAGAAACAACCCCCCCCCCCCACGAATCTGAAATGAAAATCTATATCAAAGTATTTTCATTATTGTAAACCTACCCTCTTCACAGCCATTTTGCAGGCTCTCCCATCCCAGTTCTGTTTGCCAGCAGTGAGGGTGGTAAGTAGCCCTGGCTCATGTCTCAGATGTACCATTCCTTCCTCCCTGTATCTAGGAGGTGACGGTAGCTCTTGGCCTTAAAAAGACTTGGGTTTGCCTTCTTTCTCTAAAAGTCAGAGCTTTATTTTATGTCCTGACGCCATGTAAGGGCCAAGAAAACCCTCTGCAAACCACAAACAGGGAGAGTGTATCTGAGACTTAAGGAGCAAAAGGTGTCCTCTGGGTGTGCAAGCATGTTTCTGTGTCAGTCTTCCTGTCGGGATCTGCATGTGCTTCCATCTCACACACCAGCCTGTGTCCTGCTCATGCCCCAAAGCAGTGTTTCCTGTCAGCATAGGCATTAAAAGGAAAGTGGTACCTCATAAAACCTGGGTCCCCAGGAAAATGCAGTAAAGTTCCTGGTTACTTTCCTATTGCAACCCTCTAAGACACTCCCAACACCTTTGCCCCAGGAATGATGAAGTAAGATCAACCTGGCCAGGAGGTAGCAGATTGGCCCGTTCTCAACCTTCCCCGGATGTTGCAGAAGGAGTCATTCGATTAGTTAGGGCTGGCCATACAGAGTGTATGGTTCTACAGCAGATCCCATCAGGCAGGCTCTGCTGTGACCAGTGTGGCAGCTGCAGCAAAGGAAACAAAAAAGTGTAGCCCATGAGCAGACAGGAGATGCCCTGTGGGGGAAGAGAACAGAGGGTGGGTGCCTTTTCCGCTGTGACTTGACTCTTAACAGAAACTCTCCAAAAAGAATTCTTGAATTTAGTAATGAGTTGAAGTCCAGGGTAGTGGAAGCTCTGGGGAGGAGAACAAAAGAATTGTACAATGTATTCAGTACCCGACAATACCAAACCAGAAGACATCCAATCACAAAGCTAGGAAGTTTGGCAAGAGGTACTTGGGGAAACCTCCAGCCTTTTGCATGGGTAGGGTCCGCAGACTTTCTTTTGAGTGATTTCTGGCTCGGAGAAACCTCTTTACTCACTAGAAAAGAACTTTATTTAAATGGCCAATTTTGTCCCCCAGGGGGAAAAAAAAAGAAAAATTTTAAAAAGACAGAAAAGAAAAATAGGACACTAAAGACAGAACCATGTGAGTTGGTAACAGACAAAAGAAAGGGGGCACTAGAATTTCAATGGACTCCCCAATTGGATAGGGAGGGAAAAAAAAAAAAAGCTACCCAGGGGCCTCCCAGCTCCAGACTCCCAGTCTGCTGGGAGGGGACAGAGTGCTTGAGCTGACCCAGCTGCTGGCTTTCTGGGGCTGGACATAATTTCCCAACTGGGACCCTGACAACCCCCACTTTCGTTCTGTGTTTTCATAAGGAAAAAGGACTGTTCTCGTAGGTGGCATGGGGCAAACTTTCAAAAACAAGCTCTGCCTGTGCTTAGGCTGTCCCAGAAGAGCCTCAGCCTAGACATGTGAATCCTTAAGTATTCCCAAGGGCTTTGTGTGCAGTTACCATTTCCAGTATGTCTCAAGCCTCCACAAGAGGCAGACTGTGTTCCTGTAGAGTTGCACATGTGAAAGTTACTAACACAAAGCATCACTTCTAGCACAAAGATCAGCCCAAGCCAAATACCCCAAGGGGTCTCTAAGTTTCTCAAGATGCTTTTCTGCTTGACCCCTGAATCCGCAGCAGAAGTAATGTGCATTACTAAGTCCCAGGGATGGCTGTGGGACTTTCCATTCCCTCTGAGGTGAAGAGGCAAAGATGAAGGCTTTCAGGGCACATGTTCTTTTTCAGAACCACACTGAAGGAGGAATAGAAACCCCAGGACTAAAACAAGAGTCTTAACACATGGCTGACCGACAGCTGCCCTTCTCCCGTGGCTTCTTCAGACCCCATCTGTTGCACCACTGAAGTAACCTCAGCTAAGGAATTTTAAACCATTAGGTTGTAGAATTATTGCCTTAAGTTATAAACCCTGGAGGAAAGCAGACAAAAAAAAATACAGAAAATGAAAGGCTGTGAAGATAGAGACATTTCTTACTTTTTAATGGTTCCATAATCACAAAAATAAGCTCTATTCATGACTGAGGACTATGGAAACAGTGACTTCCTGGGGAGGCACCAAACTTGTAGGGGAACCGGCTGCTTTCAGGAAGCAGCTATTTCCTGTCGACTCTATTTCATTGGTAGGTCGAGGCTGAATATAAAATAAGCATGTTGCTAAGGAGCGAGTCCCGTTAAACATAATCACAGGTGCCTGGATGAGTTTTTAAATGTCTCCTTAACGGGGAGAACAGTCGCAGCATACAGCTTTCTTTTTTATAAAATCTGTATCTCTAGTCTGCACTTTGTTCCATATCAGTTTTGGAGTGCATTTCATTTATCTTGGGGGTCTTCGTTTAAATGCAAAATCAAAACTTTCAAGTTTTTATTGACGAGGCATAATCTGCAGAACATAGACAAAAGTTAGCCATAACCATGAAGCCCCAGCCTCGGCAATGCCTGGGAACAGTCAATCTCTCCTTGGATCTCTTGTGAATTGAGAGGTTTCTTGCTTCAGAGTACTTCCATGAGATTCTGATACTCCTGCAGCAGAGAGAAAAAAGAATTGACCCCACAGGAGACATCTGTTTTTACTGCGGTTGCAACAGTTGTTATAGCCCGTAGCATCAGTGATACGCACACAGATGCTAATAACAGAAGTGGCTTACCCCATCCAGTTTGTCACAGCTGCTGGCCAGAATGTCTGTAGATGAGTGCACCTTATACATGTGCACACGTGGTGTGAGGTGCTCATACCACGAAACTTCATTCATATTCTCCAGTGACAGCAGCATAGACTTGGGAATTTACAGCTAGAGTCAAAGGCCTGATGCCGTGCACATACCTGCTTTCTCCTCTGTTACCTTGGTTGGGTGCATCAGTATCCGAGGTGAGGCTTTAGAGCATTGGGAAGTAGCCCAACCATCAGTAGTTTGTGTATAGCCTTTTGAGAAGAAACTTGAACAAATGCTACACTTCTGTGGATTTACTGGTAGAATGTGTGTGTATGTGTGTGTGCACATGCACACGACTACGCACATTTGTATGTTTGTGTGTATTTCTGTTGTCTGGGTGTGTGTGCATCTCTCAAACGAATCACACCCAGGCAGAGTTCCTGGTGCATAGATACAGTTGCCTCTTCTACCATTGTGCTCAGACTCATGGCTCTCTTCCCAGGAAGTAGTCACCTGCCCACTCTGTTGCTTTTTGTAGCTTTTCAGAGTTGGGAGAAACAAAGGCAGCTTGTTGGCTCCACAGCAAACCCACAGGGACAGGCTGTTTCCCTCCAGAAGAGGGTTGAGTACACATATTCAACCAGGGAGCAGACCAGAGGGAGCCATCCAAGGCACCTTTCAGAACTCCCAGAGGAGAGGCACCCATCCAAGCAGGTAGCACCCAAGCATCCCAGGATTAAGCCTGAGCTCAAAGGCCATTCCTGGCCTCCCTGGAACCTTGGAGGCTTTAGAGGAGCGTGATCTGCAGATAATAAAGTCTAGCCCCAGGCATGAAGTCCCAGCTCACAGCATGTGCACACACTCACACACAGGAACTACATGGGAGTCCTGCTCCCAAACTGAAACTCCCTGATGCTGCCTGCACCTGCAGGGCACCACTGTCACTCACAGGCTGTATCTCCTGAAACCAGTGTGGCCTTCACCCGAGTCTTTCCAGGATGCGTTGTTTACCATGTCTAGCAAACCAATAGAATATCAGAGGATAGCTTGAGGGGAATCTGTAAGACTCAGCGGCTCTTGCCTATGTCAGACACTAAAGTCGAATGTTACCCTAGTATAATATACTGAATGACTGGACTTAGCTCTCATAGGTAACTCTTGATGGCTTGATGAGCTGGAAACAGTTGGCTTTAGTTTTCTCACTCCCATGCCCTTCTTTTACTAGATGGTTTCTTTCCTTCCCTTTTTTTTGTGATATGTAGATTATTTCTGCTTTACAGAATTCAGAGGACCTTCTTTCCTCTTATGTTTTAGTGACATTTCCCCTTCCCAATGCAGTAAGGCAATTATTTTTTGTTTGTTTGTTTGTTATTTTTCAAATGTGTATTGTCTTTCTGTATTCAAAAGAAGTCTGTGACCGTAACCACAGGTATTTCTTTTTACTGGAAAAAAAAGTTCATTTCCTGTTTTTGTTTTTATTGTTTTAATTAACAGTACTAGTGACTTTGTGAAAGACTATGGTTACTATTTAGGTATGCTTACTTAAGTACAATACACTACATTGCAGTGTTTCTGAGACCTAGAACATACACATTATATATAACAACTCTGTATTGAAATATATTACATTATATTCTTTTTAACTTTGAATCTGCAATGATCATGAGTTGATTGAAATATTATTTCTTCACATATATCACCCATCACCACCTGCTGCAGTTAATCTGGTGCATTTAATGACCATTATGGTTCTAATTTGCTTTTTATATTATCAGCTTCAGTATTGTCTTTAGAAGATTTTAGGATTTTTTTTTTAAGCTCAGACTTAGCACATGTAAGAAAGTGAAAACTGTTTAAACTTTAAAAAATTATTTTGCTGTGGCTAATACAAAGAAGTTCATATTCCATGTGATCTTGTTTAGCTGACCCTGTCAACATCTGAAGAACAAAGGAAGTACATATGAACGTATCTGTGACCTTCCTCTTTAGGACTGCCATCGTCTATATTTGCTTTAATAAATAAGACCAAGAAGCTGCGTGTCCATCACATGACCTGACCAACTATCCTAAGCTGCATTTCGAAGGGCTGCTTTGGTGAGAAGCAAAGACAGGGAAATGCCTTGCTGTCCCAGCTGTATCTCCACACACTGCTTTTCAGTATTGATCCTTCACTGTCCACTCTCTCTTTGGTATGCCGGCCATTATTTTCATTAGTCCGCAGCATTTCCCTGGAGGCATCTTGGCAATACACTGTTCATTTCCCCAGGAGATTTATTTTTAAACTAAAACCACATTTCTGGACACTTTTTATTGACAGAACTCAAAAACATATATGACATTTTCCAGCTTCGGTGGCTCTTGGTTCCCTGGTCCTCAGCATGTCTGCTTGCTTTCTTCCAAGGGGGCATTCAGAAATCAGATAACCTGTCTTCTAACAGAAGCACTTTCAGGTCATCTTTTCAATTAGGAACTTTCTTATTCCATCTATTCCATCCAAAAGTCTGGACATCAGAATCAAATCAGCCGAATCCCATCTCATCCTTCACACTCTGTATTCAGGACAAAACGAAGTAGAAAACCTCCCCGTGGTGGACCAATATTTAGGCTTCTCGATGTGAATGTGCCACTTTCTCCTTCAATCTTCCATCATCAATTATTGTCTTGATGTCTCATCACATTCTGCTGTGCCTATCCAGTGTGTCTCTGCCCCCATCCCACCCACACCCTCTTTAGCATCTTCCATTTGTGATGCCTGGCATTCATTAGGGAGCTCTCCTTTAGTCTCCTTTGATGGTGCTAAACTAAAACCGAGAGGGAAACTGCTGGTGTCTCATCTGTTTTCAATGAGAGACATGCCAGCCGAAGAGCGTGATTCTGAACTGAGTGATAGTGAGGCTGTCCCCTCAGTGATCAGGTATGAGGTAATTTGTCCCAACTCCATTATTTTTGCTTTTCTTTCCTTGCCACATTCTCATTTCTTCTTGTTTCTTTTTAAAGGTAACTTTGAGCTACCCAATCATCTCTTCAGTACTCCCCCCCCCAGATTTTACATTATGACCCCCAACTGTTCATGTCTTTCTTTCCACCCTTCTTAGCATCTTTCTTTAAATGAGTTCATAAACTTGAGACTCGTAGGCAGAATGAAACATGTCTTCATTTCAGCTTCAGATTTTAAAGGTTGTCAGTATCTTTTGAGAGTAGGAGGACCTGAGTCACAGTTTTAAATGTCAACTGTACTAGTTGAGATCATTAATTCCTCTCGCCTTTACATTAAACCAAAGATAAGTATTTTCTGTTTTTTTTTTAAATACCACAATTTTCAGATTCTTGATATGAGTAGACCATTTCTGAGGGAGGAAAAAAAAACCCATGTTGATTATTTCTGATTGTGCTAATATTTAGCCAGTGACATGTTTGCCAGATACTAGATTTACAAGAGTCTGAATAAAGAGGTAAAATTTCAAAGTAACTTTGGTAGCTATTTATGTCAAAAGCCACTTCCATTGAAAACAATGTAAGAAAAGTTTGAAAGAATTTCTTCATGTATTACATTTTTGAAAAGCCAAATATTGGTTGGTCTGAAACTTTGAGGGGTAATTTATTAAGGAATAAAAGGACCTATAAAATTTATCAAATGCCTGTTTTATAAACAAAAATTGCCTTGACATAAACATACTGTATGTTAAAAAAAAAAAAAAACAAGAATAAGGCTGACTGGGTCCTGTGTTAGATTTGATTTGAGGACTTGGTTTATAAATACACGGTATGTTATTTGGCCATCATTCTAGAGCTCATTCCAGTTACAGCTTTCTGGTCTCCAGAACACTGATGAAGAAGACTGAAGTCATTGTGGGTGTAGCCCTTTGGGGATACTTGTAATGTCATTCCACAGTGACCCTTTAGCACAATGCCCTGACTCCCCATGATACCACATTGTCCCTCTGCTCATACGAAGATGGAGTCTGAGACAGTTTGGAGTACCTAGGCACTCACTTCTTGCTCTACCTTGACACTCAAAATCTACACTTAATATGAAAAATGTATTGTCACTCAGCTTGAGGCTTGATCCAGCCTTTGTCTTAAAACAGTTTTTAGCATCAGTTCGCACACAGAGAGCAATGAGATAAACGGCAAGTCCAGAAGTCTTCCTGAGGCCGGCATCTCTCAGGAAGCCACCATGTCTTAAGGCCAGTGTTTGCGTTGCTGAAGACTGTGGTCTTTGCTTGGCATGTCCTCCAACCTAGTCTTCCCTTCATCTCTTCCTTTTGCCCTTTGGAACTCCTGCCATCTCTTTTGAAAGTATTCTGTATCTAAAGAACACTTGTCCTCTGGCACTGCTTTCTGAAGGCACAGAAGTCTCTTTCAGATCACCCAATACTGTCATCTCAAGTGCAGTGTAGAGTGGGAGAGTCTGGATCGGAAAGATCTCATTCGGTCCAGTTGATCTAGGCTGCCTTCTTACCGTTGTTCCTTCAAGCTGTCCAAGAGGTCCAACCTTAACACCCAGGATTTCTCACCAGAACCTCTTAAGTTTGTCACAGATGAATGTCTAAATCCTGTTTAATATTCTAGAGGCTCCAGGGTGTGAATTCTTATTGCTCAGGAGCCTCCTGTTTTTACAAGCTGGCACCTGTCAAGAGCACCAACAGCCCCGGCAGTAACTAATGCAGCAAAAGAATGGTCAGAAACGCTATAGTGTATATTTGAGAGATTAGCAAGTGATTTTTTTCTTCTTTTACCCATTTTTTTAAAAGCCTGCATACCACCCCACAACACATTTCAGAAAACCTGCATCTCATTTTACAGTTAAGTAGTTTTAGTTTTGTGAATGTAGATTAGGAAATGTTCTGGAATTGAAGCTGGTAGCAAACAAGTTTATTTTCTGCACTGGACGTTAGGACAAGTGTGTATGGATGCAATTCCTTCAAAGAAAGTGAAACGTGGTAAAGCAAAGGGACAATACTTTTACACATTAAAACAGTTGTCTGCTATCTGTAAACCTTGATTTAAGCATAATTATTACTTTGTAGAAATTTGAAACTGGAGGAATGTGTATTTTAGTAGAGTTTGTTTGTCGATTTGTTTTTCTTTATGTCTTTCTTCTCAAGCTAGGGAAATGTTTGGATTCTCTGATTTGACCCTGTCCCTGCACATCAGGTGCCTGCCCCCCACCCCACAGTAGTCATTTGCCTCTTAGGAAAGCCTTCAATCTTCCGCTGAGAAGTCCTTTCTCATGAAAGTCGTATGTTCCTTTTCTCCTGTCACTTAAAGCTTTGAGAAGAGATTCTTTCTGCACTTTGGGGATGGAATAGTTAAAACAAAAAACTGTTCCTTGAATAAGAAACTCTCTTTATTTAAACGAACAGGTCTGGGGCCAAAGAATGGAACTGACTGCTGTGGAAAGTCATTCTTGTACTACAGATGGTCATTGCTTCCTCAAATCCTTTTTGGAATACATCTGGGGATAAATTTATTTTCTCTTATTGGGAGGTTTCTTATGAGTATCTAGTACAGAATTCCTAGAAAGGAAAAAGAATGAGCATTAATTAAATATCATCTAATCTGTCCATTTTCACAATGGTAGGGATTTCAGTCCTGTTCATTTTAAGCTGTCTATATTCATAAGGTCTTAAGTATGGAAACATCTACTTCCGCTTCACTCCTAACTCCTCCCTGGCACTGAGATGGACGTAAGCAGGAAATCTCCACACTGCCAGTGCTTTTCCTGTCCACACCCAGCATCACAAAAGAGAAAAACACCAAATTAAAAATGGGGAGGGGTCTTAGTACTACTCATCTGAAGAATACTCTGTGCAACTCAGCTTAACTTACAAATCGCTGGACAACCTTTTATAACCTGACTTTTGTGCTATAGTTTACATTCTTGGCTCAAACTTGGGAAATAAATGCAATTTCAATTAAGTGAACAGAAGGAAAGCAGGGGGAGGGCAGGGTAACTCAATGGAACTAAACTGGTACAATTCTACATTCTTGAAACCTGTTTTCAGGGTTACCAAAGAATGACCTCACCCTGGCCCTGTCATTCTTTCCCATCTCTCTTTTTGATGGTTCTGAGAATTAATACAACTATACTCTTTTGTAATTTGTGACTTCTCTTCATGCTATCAAGACTATCTAAAGCATGTATAGAAATCCTTGACTGCTCTGCACCTAATCTGCTCTCCAGGGAACATGTGATGTGTGCATACAGATAACCAAAAATGGACTAATGCTTCAATAAGGTTTTGCAATAGTCTGAAGTGCTTTAGCTCACAGCAAGGGGATCTTTAAAAACAAAGCTCGCTGTTCTACTCTTGGCTCTTCATGGGACAAATCTTGGCTTGGAATCAGCAGTAGAGTCAAAGGAGAAAATGCCCAAAGATGTTTGAGCAGTAAAATTTCATCCTTACTCCCGTTGATTTAGACTTCAAGTTTCTAGAGGAGCCTATTAAAGTATACATTAAGGATAATTTGCTTAGGCATATCTAATTAAGATCCATTTTGCACCATTGTTAAAGAATTGTGATTGTCAGGTGAACAGGGAGTCTCTCATAGCACACAAAGGTAAGAAGCCCATGACAGAGAAGGTCTACAATTGCTTTGTTTTTAAAAGCCCCACAGTGCCAAACGTACTTGTTTCTCTCTATCTGACACTACATGTTGATTCTCCTCAAATGCCAGCATGTGTGTGTGGGTGTGAGCAGTCAGGCCGATTCACATGTGCAGAGGGAGGTTTCAGATACACTGACGAGAGATCTTGAGGGTTACCACATACCAAGTGCTTCTCCAGATTCACCCACATGGTGAATCCCAAACTGACTCTGTCAACTTTCAGAAAGACATAAGCTCCATAAGAAATTCCACTGCAAAGGTTTTCTTTTTTAAACAGAATAATCCAAGAAGAGTTACAATGTAGAACCTGCATTTTCGTATAATAATTCACTTTGTATTTAATAGTTCTGCTTTTTGCATAAGTGTCACTGAGTCATTTGTACCAATTTACAATCCATCATTTTGAGAGAGGCCTTGCAAATTTCTGTGTATGTAGACGTATGTCTATACTTCTGTGTAGCCAGACAAAAACAAAAACAAAACCAGAATGACATGAGTGAAAAGTAATCAATGCCGAAAGCAGGCCTATTGATACTATGTAAGGTGGCTGCTGCTTGTAGACCTTGACGAATAGCTGATTCTGCTTCTCAAAAAGAGCCCTGCACTGTTAAATTTAGGACTGAGTTTTAGGAAACAGAAAGGCTCTTGCTCTTCTTTCTGTACTCATCTCCTTAATATCAGTCACCTGCCATGAGAAACCCATTAAGTAAAAGCACTACTGACCTTTTCATTGAGAAGCCATTTTCCTCCTCCAACTAGTCCCCTTGATTGCAACTCAACTGTATGCCTTTCTTTTCTGCCTACCGGCTCAATGCTTTCTAGAAGAATACAGAGGTACAAGCTGGTTGTTTCTCTCCTTTGAGCGGAAACAAACAGGAACCACAAAAGAGATGAGTCACACAAGTATGAGGCAAAGACTGTGTTTCCCACTTTTGTAGCACTGGTAACCTTTAGTAAGAGCTGCTTATGGTTGGGCTTTGAATCTGTAATCATTTTTAGTAGTTTTTTTGGTTTATGGGATTTTTTTCTCTTCTCTCTCTCTCTCTCTCTCTCTCTCTCTCTCTCTCTCTCTCTCTCTCTCTCTCCCTCTCTCTCTCTGCACTAAGCGTGACTGCACTGTGTTGCACTACTGAGATGTATTTATTCATGCCAGGAGCGTGTGTTAGGGACGGGAAGAAAGAGGCAAGCTGGGAGACTAGGGAAATCACAGAGATGGAGGTTATTTCCATTATGGTCTTAGCAGAGCCAGTGAGAATCTGTGGAATTTTTGCCAACTCTTAATCAAGTCTAGAAACTGCTAGGCTGACAAAAACCTGTTTTCTTATTGTATAGAAGTGGGTTAGTACAACAAATAGAGAATATTTTAGAAGAAATGTATCCAATCTTGTTTCCAAATAAGCATACAATAAGAGCCACAATAGCAAGAAAGCTGCCTGAGCTGACGGGAAGCCTTCATCTTGGCTCACAAGACAACATGAAACCTCTCACTATGGCACACCTTGGTGTTCCTGAAGGTCATGGTGTCCATGTTCAGATATCCTTTCTATCCATGGCAGGACCTAGATCTGGGTAACCAAAGAGGAAGGCCATGCACGTGGTGACATTGTAAGTAACAGCAAGGGATCAGTGCAATAAACACTGCCAAACAGTGAGGTGAAAGGCTTATTCTGAAACAAGGTAGGCCAACTAGGAAACTGGAAGAAGGGTCAGAGGTGTCGTCCGAATCCACGAGCTGCTCGAGCTGCTCCATCCTCGACTATCCTTAAGCAGAGACCTTGATAGTGCCTAAAAGTTGACAGTTGTTGCATTTCCCCCCTAACTTTTCAATTTATTATTATTGCCTTTTTAAATCTCAGAAGCTCGGAGTTTGACAGCTCTTTAGTAACTATTAACAAGAGGATCTTGTATCACAGGAAAAGCAATAGACTGTGTGGGGAATGAAACAAGTGTGAGGATTCTGAGGGACTCCTCCAAAATCCCGGATGACCGCTTTTGAACAGTCTTGTTCACTAAGAATCACAACCCATGTTGAGCTAATGTTGAATTTCTTTGAACACTGTCCCATGTGAGGGCATCAGTTTGGAAAACTCGTAGTTGCATCACTTTCTCCTTCCTCCTTATCCTCTGTCTCAGTCTACCTTTCCAAGCTAAATGTTTCTTCTTAAATATACAAAAGTGTCAGCCTTGCTGGGTGAACCCCACATTAAACCATCCAGAACCACCTTAAAGAGCCTCTGAGGCACTCAAAGCATTATCTGTATTTCAAATAGGAATTCTAAGTAAGAGATCTTAGCAGATGCTGAGAATGCATCCTGGGAAGGCACAAAGAGGTCATGGAGACTCCCAACCAAAGCTATGAGAAGAAATAACTGGCCTTTTAAAATACCCTCACATTGACTATTCTTGGATACCTTTCTTGAGGCTTTGGGGGACAAGTTTTTCTTGAAACTTGGATATCCAGTCCAGTTCTGTCACCAAAGATTTTCTTCTCCAGATCATAGCCTCCTCTCTCCCAGGCAAAAGTACCATGACAGGCCTGGGGATGCTTTCAGTGACTGACAGAGGACACCCTCCTTCTGTTCACAGTAGTAATCACAGATCATGAGCGTAGAGGGCTACTGAACACTCTTGTGACTTGGGAGTTAGTTAAAAGGTTAAAAAAAATACACAGTACTACTTGACACTGTAAACTGTGCAAAATACACTTGTAACCTGGAGACTTGTGGAGAGAAAGAAACTTCCATGGAAGAAAGTGAGTTAAATCATTTAGAACCAAGCAAGGATCATTGGTGAGAGGGTCATTGGGCAATAAGAAACAAGAGCAAGCCAGGGTCAATGACAGTGGCATGTGGAAATGTAGACAACAGGCCAGGGGACTCAAGTCCTGAGAAGCCACAGTGTGGTAGGTCTTTGGTGATTGCTGAAGTGGTGGAAATGCTCATGCCATAGCAAGGGAAATATGTGGAAACAGATCTGTGGTGATAGTGCCTTTCTTGTTGTAGCAAGTGATGTATTCAGTTATGCTTGTCTGGACCATTGCCCCTACCTTCTGAGGAGGTCTGAAGGATGAAGGGATAGGATATTGCCCCTGGAATGCTGTGATTTGAAGATGTTTGCACTAGATTCTAAGCTCTCCTTTAATGAGAGGATGAGAGAGAGAAAAAAATGACAACTCAAAGTTAAAAGAAACCCAAAGCAGTGTTTCTTATAACATATTCCTCCTTCACTACTGTATCTTTCCTCCTTCCCTTTCTTCCTCTCTTCCTTCTCTTTTTCCTCTTCCTCTTAAAGGAAACTTCACATTTGTTATTACCAAATCCAACTCTTAACAATTCTTTTTCTTTGTTCCCCCGCCCCCAACACTGAACCATAAGTTCAGCAATCAGTCACTGACTAGGGATAGCCAGTAAAGAGCCTCCGCCCTACAGTTTTGCTCACCTTCTCTGCCTTATCAAGGGTGGGCAGCAGTGAGTGATGGGAGGAGAGATGGACTGGACCCACCCAGCTTGTATGGAAGCCAGTGCGTCTGGAGTTCATGTCAATAAATGAGCTGACACATATTTACCCACAACACATTATGGTCTGTAGCTCATTCAAAAGGATGCTAGAAACAAAATGAAGCCACTGTGTTTCGGCATCTAATGAAGGTAGTGCCCGAAGTTCCCCTGTTCCTTCTCTCTCTTCTTTCCCACCTCATCACCATGTCCTCTCCACCAGAATTAAACTTCATCTCTGATATGTTACCAGAAGAACTCTTTGATTCCTTGGTTTCTCTCTTTATCACTAGGATGGTAACTCTTCCAAAATTAAAACCAAGCAAATACTATTAACAACTCCCTTATGGTTGGACAGTTTCCCAAGTGGTATCTGATCTTGATATCAGTTCTGATAACTTGGTAGTTTTGGCTGGCTCAAACATCTATCAACTTTATTTTCATTTTGTTTCCATTTCCATTTGAATCTTGAGTGAGAGTGGAAAGGTAGAATCATGGGAAAGATTTGAAGGCTGCAATTCTAGGGTATAGCTTGTCAGAAGTCTGTATTATCCAAAATAGAACTTTCTACACTTGTTTCCAATTTAATGTTACCCTGAATATTATTTCTATTACATTTATTGTTATTTTTATAAAGATAGAGTCCATTTGCTATGTCTAGTTGAGTGCTCTTTTTCTATTTCCCCACATGGATGCAGTACCAACCTGTTACTTAAATATCTTTTTATTATATTGTTAATATGTAATTCTACTGTAGACCAAAAATATAAAAACAAATTTGCTCATTTAAAACATATAAAGAATCTAGTGAGTAAGGATGAAGAGAAAAGATGAAGAGCAGTGGTTAACTGTGTTGTTAGAAATCTAAGAGTAGCCTTACCTATTTTTAACCAGTGCTTGTCAGTCACACCATAGTTGGGATTATATTATCTTGGCTTCTTCATGCTTATGTTCTACAAATCTTGTTTGTCTGTTTTCTCTAATGTAATTGAGGTTGCACATGATGCTTTTTTTTTTTCTGGCAATGCCTGATTTTATTATTTTATTATCAGTCATTTCCTTTAGAAGAATGAGGGGGAAAGTTTTATTTCTTCTTTTAATTTAAATTTTGTTAAATGCACTGGAAATAAAATTGGACACATTTCACTGTTTAAAAATCAGAAACAAAGCAAAACCCCAAAGAAAAAACCAGCAAGCAAATAAGTAAGCGGCACACACAGACAAAAGCTACGGAAAACAATCTGTTCATATGGAATATACGAATAAGCTATATCTAACATGAGAGATAAATACTGTCAAGTAAGAAAAACATAGAGTGTAAGCTACAGTGCAGAAAACTGTAAGAGGAACCTGAGTCTAAAGTGTGGAGAAAAGAGGCCATTCCTTTCTGAGGAGAGATCTTGTCATTATTCCAATAAAAACCAACCAAGTTAAATGTGGAAGAGATTAAAGAGAGAGTAACTCTGACTTTCCTTACACATTGGAGCTCTGGGTTACTTTTTATCACGTGTCTCAGCTACACACACACACACACACACACACACACACACACACACACACACACACACTCTCGCGCTTTTGAGAAGGGTTTGTAATATCCAGTGTGAGCATGTACACATGTCAGTACTCTGACAGTCCTCATGCTAATTCACATGGTTCTCTGAGGCTTACCAGTGACATGGAAGACTATTAGTCACTGAAATTGGTGTGTGCTAACAAAGCATTTGAATCCAGCCTGTTCCCTTCTCCAGCACCCCCCAGTACAAGGCCAGCTGCTGCACACGAGCACACAGTGAGAGCTCAGACACAGGTTACTTCTCTTAGCCAACCGGCTCATTATTTGCTTCAATATTTGCTGGGTTTTTCTGGTTTTGTTCTGTTTTAGAATGGGGTGGGAGTAGATGTAACTTCACAATCCTAATACAGTAAAGTTTTGCATCTTCCATATCTTATGCAAAAACAGACATTTAAATCAATAAATAATTGTGCCCTAGACTGAAAGTTAATGTTTAGGAGAGGGAAAAAATTGTTGGAATTTTTTCTACATTTTTTTGTGAAGAATCTTTTTTGGAAAGGAAGGATACATATTTTTGTTGTGTAATATTTTCTATTTTTGAATGCATTTTATTGGTACAAGACTGTTTTTTTGGTGAAGACATTATTTAAAAAAAGAAAAAAAGAAAAAAACTAATCGAAAAGTTTGCCCTTAAGGATATGCTGCAGTTTTGAGGTTAGAAAATAATAACTGATTCAAGATGCGTGTTAAAAGTTGGGATTCTGTTGTTGTTTTTGTAATTGTTACAAGAAGAAGTTTGTAACCACTGCTGTTTATTTTGTTTCAGATGAGTAAGTAAAGGGATTGTTCTTGTTTTATTCTTTTTTTTAGAGAAAAAGCTATTTATGAAATGTCAAAAACACTGGACTGTGAGTTTAAGTGTGGAAGCATTTTTACCACCCTGTGTCTTCAACCAATTATGGGAAACCCCTTTTCTCTCCCCCCCTGCCTTAGCCTTGCCAAATGAGGAAAACATAACAGCTCTCAGATGACAGAAGCCTCCGAAGCCCTGCTTTAATTTTTATGGTCTAAACAAGTTGGAAAACCAAAGTTAAATTTGTTTCTGAAATCCCACTGTCCATAGCCCCTTTTTTGTATAACACAGCCGGTCGGCTCTGCCTCTCTATCTTGGATCATTGCCTTCTTAGGAACCTGGGACCAGCTCTGCAGAGAGAGGCCTGAAGGTGGTGAGGTCTCCGGAAGTGAAGGGAGACTTGAGCCTCCCCAGGGCAGCCGAGCCTCTCCATCCGAGGCCAGGCTGCCAAGAGCACACACAGCTAACAGGTGCCTGGAGGGTTGGCCCCTGTCACCTTCTGCTTCTAAGACCCTCCAGTTATCATGGCTCTGCCTTTCTCGGCAGCCCACGTTCCATTGATGGGAGGGGACGGGATCCAAATCGACAGCATGGCTGCGGGTGCTGTGAAGACCCCGGCCCTCAGGAGGTAAAGCAAGGGACCACTCAGCACAGGGCTCTTGCCGCTCGCCCGCCCGCCCGCCTCCTCTTTGACTCTGTGGATTGTCCATCCATCTGCTCACTGTGAAGATGGAGAGGCAGCATGCCCTGAGGCTGTTCAATAGCTTTTCCATATTTTTTCAACATTGAAAAAATAATTTTTAAAAACTGTGATATTTTTTAAAGAAATCATTTGGCTGGAGGGAAGGGAAAAGGGAACCACCAAAAGCTGTAACATGATTAACTGGAGATATTTATAACTGGGGCACTTTCCAGACCAAGACAAATAAATTCTTTTCTGGACCCTAAAGCAGCAAAGTCTTGAGACTGTCAGTGACAAAAAACTGAAGAGAGGCTTCCCTTTCCTCCTCCTTTCTTCTCTCTGTCTCAAAATCTCTCCTTTCCTTTTCTAGCTTCCCTTGGTAACTGTCCAATGGGCTTCATACTTCACATGTGTGAAAACACATGCACACACACACACAAACACACAGACACACACAAGCAAAAAAAAAATCTATTTTTCTTAAGGATTGTGGGACCGAATTAAAATCATGTGCCTTCATTTTTTTCCTTTTATAGTTAAATGAACCTCTTCCTTTTTACAATGTATTGGGTTTTGTTTTCTTTTGTTTTTAGGAGAAAAGGGGAGGTTAAAGTGTTTCTGGAAGATTTTAGGCATCATTTAGAGGAGATTTTTTTTTAAACGTATTTCCCACTAAACATTAAAGCCGACCATCTCAAGCCCTTCACATTGCACTGTGCGCACTTAGAGCATCAAGTCATCAGATCCTGACAACCTAATCCGCTTGATTTTAGAGCAGTTTCTGAAATCTTGACTTCATAGACTTTTTTTTACTATTATTTATCAAAATGAGGTGAGTGAGGCAAGTTGCCTTGTTCTCCTAACTTGGTGCTTTTGCTTGTGGGGTGGGGGTGGGGTGGGCATGGGGAGGTCTAGACAAAGGGTGCATTCCTAAAGATCTCTGGTGCTGAAGGGCCTTGAGTTCCTTTCAGAAAACGTGTTTGACATAAAAGTGTACAAGTGAATGGTATTTCACATGCAATATTCGAATGGAACAAGTCAAGAGGCTCTCTGAAGGGGGGTGTTCCTTTTTTCATAACATTTGATTCCCCTGGTGCCTTATTCCTACTCGAAGCTGGCACTCACATGCCCACAGAACAAACGCTGATGTTGGCCTCAGCAGTAAGGACCTCTAGGTGATCCTTGAGCATGTAGGGGACCTGAGACATTGGAGTCAGTTGGTGGGGAAGGAACTAGATGGCATCTCTTAGCTGAAACTACACAGGGACTGCACAAGCCCATCACAGTCAAGATTAGCAGTGCGTATGTGGATCCGCGCGCGTGCACGCTCACACACACACACACACACACACACACACACACACACACACACCAAATACACTCTTCCTTCTCTGAACTTCCCTTCCTTCTTCATTTACTATCTCTGCCTTCTCATAAAGGTGCTGCTGCTGCTGCTGCTGCTGCTGTGCCCGGAGTCCAGAATGCCCAGTAATCACCCAGGCACAAGCCTGGCACTGCCACGTCAGCCCTTGGCATAACCAAACCCAGGTTTCTCTTGCCTGGGGCTGAAAGCCGTCAGATTTTTCTCATCAAACAATGTTATCCAAGGAATCAGTGGATTACAGTCACTCTGCATTGAAAATGCACTTTAAAAATTACTGAAAGCTCCAGACTGTTTCAAACACACAGAGGGAGCAGGGGAATGATAAACATGTGCTAGTGTCTGAACCCAGTTCAGCTTATCTCCAGTTGAAACAATATACACTATATTATGTGTAAATGTATACACACTTTCTATATGTCCACATATATATGGTGTATATATTATACATGTATAGGTGTGCGTGTGTGTGCATACACACACGTGCACATAGCCGATCAGATGCTCATTTTACACAAACAGCAGCAGAGGAAACAAGGTTGGACTCTTGCAACAGATCACAAAAAAAGTAAAAACAGTCACTTGCAGTGACTTTGGTCATTTCTGTATGTTCATAAGGAATGGATTGTAACAAAGAAAAAAAGGAACAGTGTTAGCTATAGAGGAAAACTGGGCGAGACCATCTTGATCCAATGGGAATGCAGTAATGTTCTATACCATTTCATCAGCTCTTTCTTTTAGTCATGATGATTTTAAGTTTTGGCTATTCAAAAGGTTTTAGACTCAAGTGATTACATTCAAGTGAACAAAACAACTACCGTGAAAGCCCTTTTCAGTAGGAAGATGTCAGAAATCTCAAAACCCTTGGCCTGGCTCAGAACTACCATGTGCAAACCAGAACGCTCTCAACGTTTGAAATCAAAACTTTAAAACTCTTTTGAAGCACCTTAGCGTGGCCATCCATGTGACGAGTGGGTGCCACTTGTTCCTTTGAGCACCTTATTGACGTGTTGCTATCTGCTGTCTTTCTGTTAACCGTTAGCTGAATAGCTACCTGTTAACACACACACGTGCCCAGATCAGACATCTGGCCATGTGTGCTCTCAATGAAGTTTACTGTGGTGACTGCTGAAAGGCGAACTCATTTCCTGATTTTCCTGCCACAGTGTTGTGATAAGACTCGAAGAAACCCTGTCCCTGCACGGAAAAATGTTCCTTATCACATTGTATATTAGGGTGGGAAGGAATATGGTCCCTTTTTTGCAATTGCTACTGTGTATACACACACGTGCACACACACACTGTATATTCAGACTTAACAAACACATATATACACATAACTCATTTGTCCAAGTGATATTTCAGATGTCTCTGTGGGTGTCACAAACTGTATGCAGTTTTCCGTTTCCCGGAGAATTTTGAATGGAGGGCAACCTTTCAGACTGAAGAACTGGGCACTGGGAAAGAGTTTGGAAAGAGTGAGAGGCAAGGAAAGAGAGACCATTAAACCGAAAGAACCATTTCCTAAGAGAGACCAGGTGGATGGCTGCCCTCGAAGGTGGGTGTGGAACACTGTCGTCAGTCTGCGCTGTAGAAACCCAAGCACACATCAGCACACACATCCTCCCACAGGGGCGTGGTCTGGGACGAGCAGGTCAATAGTTTTGAGAGGGAGTTTGTTCCTTTTTTTTTTTCTCATTATAACTCTTGTTGTCAGTTATTAAACAAACAGAAAATTGTTTTGAAGAACCTTGCATACGCCTTTTCTATCAAGTGCTTTAAGATATAGACTAAATACACACACCCTGCCAGTTTTTCTTACAGTGACAGTATCCGTACCTGCCATTTAATATTAGCCTCGTATTTTTCTCACGTATATTTACCTGTGACTTGTATTTGTTATTTAAACAGGAAAAAAATTCAAAAAAAGAAAAATTAACTGTAGCGCTTCATTATACTATTATATTATTATTATTGTGACATTTTGGAATACTGTGAAGTTTTATCTCTTGCATATACTTTATACAGAAGTATTACGCCTTAAAAATACGAAAATAAATTTTACAAGGTTTCTGTTTTGTGTGGAAGAGTAATTGATGTTGCTAAGAATGATGTTTGTTTTTTGGGGTTTTTGTTGTTTTTTTTTTAAATGTTACCAGCACTTTTTTTGTAAGTTTCACTTTCTGAGGTATTGTACAAGTTCACACTGTTTGTGAAGTTTGAATATGAAGGAATAATTAAAAAAAAAAACAAAACTCTTGGTCTCCTCGTGTCTTCTTGGGGGTATGTCTGCTTTGGGCACTGTCCACGTTCCTTCACACTTTGAGGTCTGTTGAGTCTGAGATTGCCCAAATTGAGATCCATACCTAGAAGGCCAGAGAATCACACCAGACCTCTTGACACCCCAAATAGGGATTTCAGGACCTTTGATGGGAAAGAAAATCACTTTGAAAATCTATATGGTGGAGAACTATATGGCAGAGATCTATGGTGGAGACCCGTGTGGGCATTGTTCTGTGCCTGTCTGAGCCTCAGAAGCAATGACATGGCTCATTTACTGCTTATCAAATCACCTCTCACTGTGTCCTCCCCATGTGAAAATCAGGGCCTAGTACCTAGTACCATTTCCTTTGGAAACAACCATCTCATACGATGCTGTATCCTGTGAAACTATCTCATAACCAACTCCTAATGCCCTGAGCTCTAGCAAAAAATAAAATTAAATTAAAAAAGAAGGTTCATAGCAGAAAATGCCCTTTGATGACTTTGGAGAATGCTATTGGACGTCTGTGGGCTCCATGGATCTTGGAGGGAACTCCACCTGAACATGCTTTAGCATTCTCACAAAAATGGCCAATGTGATAAGGAAAATGTAGGCCTTACTTGTCCCTAGTGAGGTCACCAATATTGAACTCCTTGAGCCTTTAGTAATTCAATACTGTGTAGGGTATGGATGAAATAGAAGAAGTTATTTCAGCCCTGGTAAGCCTTCAAATCTAACAACTAGAAATAGACATTCTATAAAAATCAAAAGCAATACTCTACAATTCAAGCTGTGTTTTCAGTGCTATGGGAATCAGTGAATAATTAGAGATGGTGGGTGAGAAAGGTCAAGGAAGGGTTCAAGTCTAGCCTGTGGGACCCACAAGGACATGAAGGTTTGAACTGGAGGGGCACTGTGGGTAGCCATTTCCACTCATGTAAAGAGCACAAAATCCCCCAGACACAAGCCTGATACAATCAAAGAGACCTCTGCTCTGGAAAGTCATTGGTAACCTCTAAAGATGTCAAAATGACATTAAACATTGGTGTCTTGAAATTCCCTAACTCATCTAAGTTAACCTAATTTTCTAGAAAGTTCAAAAAAGATGAAGAGATGCTGAAATGGCTCAGTAATTTAAGAGTGCTTACTGCCTCTGCAGAGGTTTAGCCCCCAACACCCATGTGGTGGCTCACAACTACCTGTAACCCTAGTTCCAGGGGATCCAATGTTCTCTGATGACCTCCACAGGTTCCTGCACACATAGGACACACATAAACTTATACAAGCACACACATACACATAAATAAAATGAACAAATAAATTTGTTTTTTAAAAAGATGAAGCATGATTTGTGCCTGCCTGATATCTGTGAGCATTATCAGCATCATAATACCAATCAACTTCTCCCCGGGCTTCTGCATTCTGCACCGTCCACAGACTTGCAAAGCCTCTGCTGTACTTGTTCACCATACAGTGGTGTGGTTTGTATATGGACTGTCAGACTGAACAGCACATATACTATCTATATAGCGTTTAATAGCTTATACATTATTATCCAGTTTATATTGACAAAGACTCTCCAATAAGAGAATTAAACACTTGAGCTTAGATCTTCTTTCATGTTCATACACACCAGCATTTCTCAAACTTGAATAATGGGTTTATCCCTTTAAAAGAAAAAAAATCTCAGAGGTCCCCTTCATAGGGGAAATTCTGAATACTTTTACTATGCTTACCAATAAATTCATATATGCATACATTTTTTCCTACAAGTATTTCTAAATATGCTCAGACATAACTTCCAATAAGCCTGTTTGCCTTACAGATTCAAAACCAGTTACACATTAAACACAAATACAACTATAAAATTATTCTTGCAATAGCAATGCTAATGCATTGGACATTGCTTTAGTGAAGCTGTGTCCTAGCCCACAGTGAAGTTCGCTGCTGATGTTTATGCCCTGAACGCAGCCTCACAGGCATGTGCAAAGAGAAGACAATCCTCTCTGCATTTGCTGCTACATCCACTACTGCAGAACCTTCCACTGTTCCACTCACCTGGAGCAAATGAATCGTTTATGAGGAAGCTTTTGTCCCTTGAATCAATGTAATTATAAACATAAACACAGGGAAAAGAAACCAGTAACAATGCCCTCCTGTAAGATCACCAGCATCCACAATATGCTTGACTTTTTAAAGGGTTATTTCACTAAAACCACAAAATCTATAAAAGAAAAAAAAAAAAAGCTCACAGGAAACCCATGGACCCCAAAACATCAGCAACTCATCATTCCTCAAATCCCAATTTTTGAGGACATTCCTAATTCCAGATTCCTTGGTTTCCTCCCAACATGCTTTGCTCTTCCATTGGGGACCCCTGTGACCCCATAAGCAATGTCAGGCACATGTACTCAGGGGGCATAACTCAGTAACATCTTTAACTTAGCCCTTTACTATCTACTTAGCAACAACTGCCCCGACCTCATTCTTTTAAGGTCTTTTGAAGCAAATATTACTGTTACTGATTTACAATGAGATATTGGTAGTGAGGGACTGAGAGATGGAATAACTCACCACCATGCAGCTTCGTTACAGTCGCTGATGGTTGGACCAATGAGACCAGTTTCTACTCCACAGCACACTAGAGTCGCTTCTCTTTCAGTTGTATTTTCAGGCCCAGGGAAGGGTCTTTCACAGTTTACAGGAAATTACTGTCATCCAGAATAAGTCTTGTGATGAAAGTTGATTCCTGGATGAACCTCTTGAAGCTGCAAACTTCTTGACACCCCTGGCCCTGTTGCTGTGAACTGGACCACTTGGCAACTGAGATCACCATGGTAAGAACTGGAAATAATGTGCAGCCTGCTTTTAACCTCGTGGTTTGTTTGATTAGAGGAAGGACAAAATGGAAGCAAAACATCCGTGTTTCTTCCTGACAGTAACTCTGTCAAAAGATCCACAGAACCATCAATGCCTAGAAACACAGCAACAACTTGAATTAGGAGCTCCAGCCAATTAAAGGTCACTGGATTTCCTTTGTCACATTTGCCAGATTCTAGGTCTCTGTAGCCTCCTGTGGCTAATGGCCATCGCATTGGACAGTAGGTAGAACATTCTCACAGAAAGTTCATTCCCAGGGCCCAGAGGCCAAGAAAGGACACTTTCTGAAATAAAATTGCAAGGTAAGGTGCTGTCTCCTCATGAGGGCTCAATGCTCTATGACTCAACATTTCTCAGTATAGTCTTCTGGCTTATGGAGCTGAATGGAGTCCAGGATCAGAGCATGGGCAGGGAATCAGTAAATGCATTCTTTCCTGAACCCCAGCTCCTATCGGGAAACTCAGGAAGACACCCAGGAGAACTCGGAATCCCTTTCTGCCAGCATTTAGGGGCCCTTCCTTCATTTTCCCTGTGATCTTTGCCTATGTACTTCTCACCAAATGTGGTAAGAGGAAGAGACTTCCTCAAACATTATTTTAAAAGAAGGAGAAAGAGACAAAGACCAACAGATTCACACCCCAGGTTCCAGCTGGCTCAAGCTTATAGAAGTATAATGGGGCTCCATAAGCAAAATTAGATTTCCACAAGCCATGTTTAAAAAGCAAAAGGAAGCCAGAGAATTAGTTTGTAATAATATATTTTATTTAACCCCAGTATATCCAAAGCATCATTTTGAAATGTAATGAATATTTTTAAATTAGATGGGATAGTTTACATTTACGATTCATACTGTCTTCAAAATCTGGTGTGTGTTTTAGACCTACAACAGCAAGTCCCATCTGGGGTGAACCTCACGGCACCTGTACTGGGACAGCCACCTGGAAAAAGTGGCTGCTATCCTGGGCAGCATGTGTCTCCAGGAGTCTGGACCTTCAGCACTTGTCTTCTGTGGATCTCAGAAGAGAATCTAGTTCACTTCCCACTTTGAAATTTGTTTTCTGTAGAATTGAATCTTGTTTTAGCAACCTGACCCATTTCCGACATCTATAGGCTCCTTTGTGTTTTCTCTCCATCCATGGTATTTGTAAATGTTTCCCAATTACCATAATTATGTTAAGTGACACTGAAACCTCAATCCAGCCTTAGCTCAAAATCGATCCCCTCCAAGTCAGATTACCTCTCCTTTTTATCATTACATTTATTTCCTTTCCAATTTGTGAGCTGTGTTCTACTTTCAACCAATTTGCATTTGTTCTGTAAGACAAGTCCTGTGGCCTGCCCCAGCAAACAACAAACTCCACATCACCTGTACCTATCTTTCTTCCCAAGGGCTGGGGCTCTGGACCAATGTTATGACCCCTTATGACCCATCTGAGAGGAAAGTGAGGTGGGGTGGGGATTCCCAGGAGGGACAGAAGTTGAATTGTCTTCCTGCTAATGCTTAACTTAAGCCTGTAGAGAGAGACAAGCTCGCTTCTCTCTCTTCAGTCTGTGCCTGTGAAGAAAACCACTCACAGGTGAATTCAACCTCCTCATTTCTCCAAGAGAGATGAGCAAGGGACAACGTCTTTTTAGATCCAGCCTGAAAGCAGTTCCACATAATTTAATCACAGACACTCCATCCCCAGCATGAAGAGGTTAAGCAATGAGGAAGGAGGGTCTTATTTTTTAAATTCTCAATCATGCTCACCCTATTGTTTTGTTTTCAGAAGTCCTTATTTTAAAAAAAAAAATTAGACTTTCTTTTGGTGGTTAAAAAGTTTCCATTTTTAAAGGTCCAGTGGCAGATTGATCCAGAAGTGGGGGGTTTATCTTGGTCCAGGTGCCAGGATGTGGCTTCCCAGGTGGGCAGGAGTTTCCTGAGGGCTTCTTCCCCAGACGGGCTTCCCCAGACCACAAGTGTGAGGAGCCTGGCATTCTGTGACCCAGGAGTCCTAATAGACTCTGAACTCAGCAGACCTGAAATGCCCAGCTAAAGAAGAAAGCCTGACATTCATTGCCCATGAGTGCCAGGGCATTTCTTACAGGATTTCAACCTTGAATTCTTTCGAGTTCCTAGGAAAATGCTTCTACCCACCAGACCAGCCTCATCAATCCCTCTGTTCTCTGTGGAGACTTCACCACACCCTGATTAGCATATTTTCCTAAGGGCCCAAATCATGAATCCTTATCTCCTAGTACATCTTATTATAAATGTCACCTCACTTTCGGAGACTGTCATCCTTGAATCTCCCATAGAGGTTTGTACTTTGCCCCATTCATAAATAAATGTCTTGAATTGTTGGTTAAAAAATAAAATAACAATGAGAAATAAACCCAGTGGCCATTCTTATCATCTGCCTCAGCACCTGGAGCCAAAACCTCTGCCTGAGTTCTTATGAGGAACGTATTTCCCAAAGCCACAAGACCTGCTCAGACCACTAAATTCAAAGCCAAATGTCAATTCATTTCCAAAGTCAATGGGAATGTTGGGGTTGTTTTTATTGTTTTATTTTGTGTTTAAGAAAAAAAAAATCCAGACTGGAGAGAGCTGTTAAGAGCACTTGCTGAGCACCCACACTGTAGCTCACAACTGTCTCTGACTCCAGTTCTAGGAGATCTGATACCCTCTTCTGACCTCTGCATACACCATCCACATGTGGCACACATATATGCAGACCAAACAGTCATATACATAAACTAAAAATTCATTTTCAAATTCCCATTTATAATCAAGGTACAAGCTATTTACCTTGGGTCTGTCACAGAGAAATGGAAGAGAAGGGTAGAAGAAATGAAGCTTGAAAAGAAGTTGCCTTTCATTCACTAACTAAACACAGACATCAATACAGACACAAACACACATGGGGGGGGTAGATGGAGGGAGGGAGGGAGGGGGAAGGGAAGGATAGACCTGTTCTTAGACAATCTTCGCTGGGACACTGAAGCTCTCTAGGCTTCTGTAGCTCAGGACGTTAAAGTAGTCTCGTGGCTCAGCATAGTCATCCTCCTCTCCACAGAGGCCAGCAGGGGCAGCTTCTGTCTGGACAGGGCCTCCAGAGGACGAGAGAATCCTGAGGCTCATTTCCTGGGACTCAGCTGCCGTTCTCCCAAGGCCACTGTCTGTAGAATGGATTCTAAGTGACTTCTAGGATTAAACAAAGGAAATACATGGGGATGTTATACAAAAGCCGCCTCACAGATGGACAAATGGCACACAGTTATCATTCTCTTCCTCTCTTACAAGAACACACACACACACACACACACACACACACACACACACACACACACACACACAGATATGCACACACACATCACACATGCGAGAAAACTTGTGTTTTTATCAGTACACAATCCTTAGCCTTGAGCCCTTAATTTCTCTACTTTGTTGTAGTTTTTTTCTTTATTCTTATTACTTTTTAAAATTCTCATACAACATACTTTGATCATATTCTCTGCCCTCCCCCAACTCCTTCCAGATCTTCCTTGTCTCCCTCCCTACTCAACTTCATGTTTCTTTTCTCTCTCAAAACAAACAAACAAAATCATTAAGACCAAAAAAAAAAAAAAAAACCCAAACTCAAACAAAAAGCATGCAAAAACCATAGAATTCATTTTATGTGGGCCAACTATTCTTGGCCATGGGGCCTGCCTTGAAATGTAGTTTATATATATATACCCAATGTCACTCCATTGGAGAAAACTCATTTTCCCCTTCCCAGAAGATATCTATTGCAAATAGCTGCTGCTGCTTCTTCTTCTTCTTCTTCTTCTTCTTCTTCTTCTTCTTCTTCTTCTTCTTCTTCTTCTTCTTCTCCTTCTTCTTCTTTTTTGGTTTTTTGAGACAGGGTTTCTCTGTGTAGCTTTGCGCCTTTCCTGGAACTCACTTGGTAGTCCAGGCTGGCCTCGAACTCACAGAGATCCTCCTGGCTTGGTGGTGGCGCACGCCTTTAATTCCAGCACTCGGCAGACAAATAGCTTCTTGATTAGGGGTGGGACTTTGTGTCTACTTCCACTTCTCCACATAACTCCTTTTCAATAGTAACAGCTCTAATGAAACTAATGTGTCATCCTGCAGCCTTTAGTTCCTGTTCTCTTAACCTGGCGAGCCTTGCCTTGTCTCCATCTCTCTTTGTTTTTCTCTCCTTACTGCATGCACACTGTTCATTTCTTCCTTCTCTTTGGTTTTCAGGCCACCACTTTCTTCTCACTCTTCTCCTTTCGGCCCCCATCTTCAGCTAGCCTGGCCCTTTTCTCTTTATATACCGGCTCTCCAAGCCAAGGTGTTCCCCAGGATTCTGTCCTCTGCCTTCTCAGTCTCAAGTCTCAGTCTCAGTCTCAGTCTGAGTCAGTTCTTCTACTGTAAGACTCCCAACAGAACCTGTCATCTAAAGACCCAAGTAGCCTAAGACCCTAGGTAGCCCAGTCTCTGCCCTAGCTCTAGCCCACCTGCCCATCTACTCAGGATGGCCCATGAGAGAATCACAGCAAGTTCATTCAACTTGTCTCCATGGGCCCCACCCCACATCTCCAGCCCCACCATCTCTTCCTGCCAACATTCTCCCTTCTGGCCAACAGCACAGGCCCTTCAGAAACATGGAGGCCAAAACCAAGTTCCAATTACCCGTAATGCCTGTGATGGTTATTCTTAGTTGTCAACTTGACTACTTCTGGAATTAACCAAAACTCAAGTGGCTGGGTACACATGTGAGGGATTTTTTTAAATTAAATCATTTAAAGTGGGAAGACCCACATTTTAATCTGGATATTTTGAGGCAGGAAGTTCCACATTTCATCTGAACCTCACCGTCTGGTGACAGCATATATATAAAGGATGTGGAAGCAGGAATCTCTTTGACTGCTTGCTCTTACTCTTGTTGGAAAGTCCATTCCTTCATTGGCATTAGAGCTACTTTGGGATTTTGTACACTGAAGACCAGCTGAAACATTCAGCCTGTGGTCTGAACAACTACATCCTTGGTAGACCACCAGTGCTGGACTAGCTGCACCACAACCTGTAAGCCACTCTAATAAATCCCAGGAGAGAGATATATAACAAATATACATATATAAATATAAAATCCCACATATATGTGTGTATACACACAAACACATACACACATCCTGTAAGTGCTGTTCCTCTAGAGAACCCTGATCAATACACAACCCCCAGTTTTACCTCATCCCCTCTTCAATCCATCCCTCTCATCTGCCAGGGGAAGAACAAGTCCCCTTCATATTGGTCTGGCTCACATTTCTTCTTACTGCTAGACTAACTTTCCACAAACCTCCACACAAAGATTTTTCAAAAATAAAAATCGAATCTGTCCATACTTCTGCTTAAAACCCTTTAATGGCCTCTACTGGACACCAGAAGGATGCTTAACCTGGAGTGAGCTATGATGAACACCCTTGGGAATTTGACTTCAAATGATTTATTAATAATCGCAACTTATAATGAAAGTTTTAGATAAAGGTGTATTCTTGTGGGGAGAAAATCCGTACTTCATTCCATTTCCAAAGGAATCTGTGGCACCCCAGACACTCTTTGTGTCCCAGTCGTGCCCATCTCTCTGGCTTCATCGCTGTGTTTCACAACCAAGATGCCCAACTTCTGAGGCCCAGAGAATGCCACTGGTTGCAACCTTGCTTTGAGGTCAGACCCAGTGAACTCTTTCATCTCCACAGCAACTCTGCTGATGCGTCTGGTTTGGGATGAGCTAATGGGCACAGGCAGAAGACCCTTGACGAAGGACGAAGGCACCAGTTGCTCAGATTTGTCTCACTCTGCCTGTGCTCTCCTTTGACCACAGCGCCTCTCACTTACAACTTCTCTCTGAAGGCAAGTCCGTTTATCCATCCGTCTTCACCAGGCTCAGAAGTTCAGGTTCCCTAAGGGAAGTGCTGTGTTCCTCTTCATAACCTCAAAACCCATATCGGATGTTCAAGCTATAATGTCTTAGGACTGTAATAGACATGCATGTTCAGTTGGGGACACACACACACACACACACACACACACACACACACACACACACACATTCATTTTTAATACAGCCCCATATAAAAGAATCCGGTTTTCCAAGTCAAGGTATAGTCTCACAGCCAGGAACCTAACGTTGCATTCACTGAGACAAGACAGAGTGGTGAAATCTGTTCAGTGACATCAACCATAGAATCCATGTTACAATGTCATACTTGAGGGCTGTAATAATACAGGGAAACTGGAGAACATTAGCCACCAGTAGGGTGATAGAAGAAGTGCTTAATAACCATTCAAAGTTGACCTACCTTATGTATCTAAATGACAAAATCACAAAGATCCAGGGACTTGGGAAATGGGAGCAACCGAGGCTTATGGAATCTCTCTTCATCACACCCTTGGCTTCCAAGACAGAAAATGCCACCCAACTGGTGCCAAGCCCAAGTGTGCACCAGTGTAGGCAAGGAGATAGAGAAGGGAGGTTAGAAGGACCCTGCAGATGCGTTCAATGAGCAGATGCCCAAAACTAAGGATGGCACATCACTACAGCACTAGGAGTTGGCCAATGAGAGACACCATAGTCTAAGAATAACATACACAAGTTATTGATCTCCCCCGCCCACGCCCCGATTCCTTCTCAGTAGAAATAGCTAAACTTTAACACGAGTGTGAAGGAGGGAATGGCTTCAAGACTCATGCAGGTGCTGTGTTTAAAGGACTCTGACATCCCTTGATACATACACTCCATTTTTAATATGAATACTCAATTATTTCTCAAAGAGCTAATTATGACTTTTTGTGCTTGTGTGTTTTTATTCTCATTCTCGGTAAGGCTGGCCACTCTCTCTTTTTAATTTTAAGACTATTTTGAGCTCTAAAAGTCCTCTGGGAAATGCAAATATTCCCGAGACGGGTCCCTAAGCTGTTCCATTTCCATTCTACCCTACATGGAGACTCTATAATTGTAACTAGTGTTAAAAAATAGGTCTGAGATTAATGTACTAGCATAGTCCTAGAGACCCAAGTGAAACTACAGAAATTGCAGCTGAGTCCTCTTGGGACAAACATTGCTTTCTAGTAGCATGTGAGGAGCATGAACAGCAGACAGTGGGGTCGGCAGGGTTATTGTCCAGTATCTGACACATGTAACTTCTCAATATCTGTTTGGCAAATAACACTTATTCATACAATGCATATACACACATAATAAACACTTGCTTATACTATCTTAAGATATGCTTAATATATCTCCAGAAGAGATGGTGCTCGTGTTGAGCTTTCTTCCCTCTTGCCTCAACACAGCAGGTGTTCTCTGCTTCTGACCTAGAGAAGCCAACAGAATAAGGTGATAGATTTCTGAAATTATTTAGTGCAGGAATTGTCAACGTCACCCCCATCACCAGCCCTGTCTTTATAGGATGCCTCTTAGCATCATTCTCGGGAGTTACTAGTTTAGAGCAGGTCCTCAGAATAGAGGCAGGCATGTAATTCTGGTGCTAGTGACCTGGGTTCTCAGAGGAAGGCTAGTGAGGAAGGCCAGAGGCAAGGGGATGCAAGGATAGCACCAGTGTTACTGACTTCCATGGTGTCTCCTCCACAGACTGATGCTGAAGTAGGAGGTGCTTCTGCAGAATGGGATCCCTAGCAACAACCAGGATAAGAGGACCTCAAAATAGTAGAAGATGACAATGTTTAAGAAACCAAGTAGATACAGCTACAATGATAGAACTATGAACATCCGCCCCATGGGGATCTTAAGATGGCCCATACAGCACAGTGATCCTAGATAAATAGAGATGTATAAATAGACAGCCTACCGTAGGATTCTGTTGAGTGTGTATGTGTGTGTGTGTGCGCGCGCGCGTAAGTATACACTTCAAATACTATCAAGAATACATGAGTGAAATCTAAAGCCAGCCATCCCCATGAGAAGTCTAGATCTTTTGTCCAGTTTCCAGGCATATGAACAGTACTATATAGGTAGAGCATATTCATCCCTTGGTTCCAGTCCCAACTGTCTCTGTTCTTCTGTGCCCTAAGAAGACTTTCCTGCATGCACTACAGCAGTGGATCTCTTGTCCTCCGTGCAGAACGACAGGGAATGAAGGAACAGAGTGTGGTCAGAAGGTACGTATTCCCTGCAGTCCATGCAGGGTGGGCCT